TGCTTTGGGGGTGGGGGGGGGGGGGGGGGGCTTGCTCCCGGGAGAACGAGAGAAGGGTTGCCCCCGGCTCCACATGCGGTGGTTCTAGTGAACGGGCCAGGGAACCCAGGGAATTGGTGGAAGTGCCCCTTGTATTAATGAAAAGAAAAGAGATGTTGAGAGACCTTAACCGCAAGGCAAAGTTCGCTCGCCGCTGGACATTATGTGCTTACCTCACCGTTTTGGTTTCCAGGCGTACGGGTTAGCCGGAAGATGGGAAGACGCGTTGGCGCTGCTACCTAGAGCCGCGGCTTTAGCGGCGGTGCCCGACGAGCGGATGTATTGCTCCGTCATTAACGCGATGGGGGAGAGCGGCGCTTGGGAGGCGGCTGTGGAACTCATCCAGTCGATGCGGCGGCGGCGGCCATCGGCAGCCGCCACCGCAGGCGGTAGCGGCGTCGGGACCAGCGATAGCGGAGCAAGCGGCGTCGCCGCTGCCGCCGTGGTGTCGCCGTCGCTGGAGCCCCCGCCCCCTGGGCGGGCGGCCTACGGGTGCGCGTGTCGGGCGTGCGCCAGGAAGGGGGAGTGGGGAGCGGTGCTGGGGCTGATAGAGGACATGCGGGAGGACGGCCTGGAGAGGGATTCTTCGGTGTATGCGTCAGCCATGCGGGCGTTCGTCGAAGCGGGGGACTGGGAGAGGGCGGTGGAAATCGTGACGGTTGAGGTAAGTACGGAGGGCGGGGTATTTTTCATTGCCGTGTGGAGAGGCTGCCATGGTTTTGGCCGCTGACGCGTTGAACGGTTTTGTCCAAATGACTGTTGGCGTGTTTTCAGCTCTTTTAAGCGGAGAGAGACCAGACGTACTCTTTGATGAACCAAGGAATTGGGGTGCTGCTGAACTGTTCATCCGCTCTTTGCCCGCCGATTGTATCCAAATGATCATTTGACTTGTAGCTGATGGCATGCTTCGATAGTGACCGTAGCGATCGTACTGCTGCTATGCACTTTTCCTCGCGTAATGCAGCTCTACGGATGTAAATGTGAGTAGTTTGCCGAGCCTCTGGTATCCCGTTGCCGGTGCTCGTGCCCATGCCGCCCCCCGTTCACCACCCACAGATGGAGCGAGACGGGGTATCCCCGGACGCCCTATCGTTCGGCCAGGCCTTAAGAGCCTGCCGGGCGGGGGCAGACGGGAGTGGTCGGGCGGCGCAGCTAGCGCTCGCGCTCGTTGGAGAAGTGCGGAGCAGGGGACTAGAGCCGGGCGTGGTGATCCTCGAGAGTGCCGCCAGGTGGGTTTTTGGTGTCGGTCCCGGAGTCTTTCCTACCCCCGACTCTCATTGTGGCTTTTTCATCCGTGCCGGAGTTGTACTGCAGTGGACTGACTGACTGGTGTTGGGTGCTTTGGTTGTAAGCGCCTGGCGGCACGTTGGCTTTTGTGGTCGTTCCTGGTGAGGATGGTTTCCGTGACCACTGTGTACTGCGAGAGGGTGGGCACCCTTTTCCGCCGGATCTGTCACGGACCTCCCCGCACGCCTCTGATCCGTGCCTCAATCACCCCCCTGACCACACTACCCTTTAACCGATTAAACCGACCACAAAAACAGGGCTTGCCTGGCGGACGACCGGCCTGAGCTCGCGCTAGACATAGTCTCCGAGACCCTCGACTCCTGGAGACGAGGGAGCTTGGGAGGGGACGGGGATGGCGGTGGGGGAAGGCGGTGGGGAATTGACGAGGTGCAGCGGCTAGAAACGATGCGCATCACGGTTCTCGGTCGCCTGGGACGGTGGGAGGACTCCCTCGAAGCCCTAGACGCGATGCGGGCCAAGTTCGGCGACGATGACCTAGACGAGAGAGCGTTCGTTTCGGCGGCACGCGCCTGCGCGGCGGCGGGGGAATGGTCGCTGATTCAGGTTCTCCAGTCCGAGGCATCGGCGGTAGGGGACGGTGACGGGGTGTCCCCGGGGTCCGCGTGGGACATGCAGCGAGCGCTGCTCTCCGGGCTCACGACGGCGGGGATGTGGAGGCGCGCCATGGGAATGCTCCGAGAGATGCATCACGGAGGGGGTGGTGATACGGTCATGCCAGCAGCAGGGGAAGAACGGGGGCAGGGAATGCCAGACCCGTCTCCGCATTGGCAGGTGAGCCAAGATACATACCCGTGTTGCAGCCGGTGGGCACACCTTTTGTAAACCAATTCGGTGAAATGTTGGGAGATCGACTCTGAAGCTCTCTGCTGTTTCCGAGAAAGTTTGGTCGATTTCTGCGGTATAGCAGTACGCACGCCACTGGAGTGTCAACCTGAAAGTCTTCCGATGGGGTGTACGTAAGACTGGCTCACCTATCACAGCTGTAACTCGTAAAAGAGAGCAATCTCTCTGTTGTTCTCGAAGGCGCATGGTGCTCCGGTTGCGCCTATTTTTGACAAGACGGTGCCAGAAGAGGCGTCCTTGTTGTACTGTTGCAGCGGTCAGGATGATGGTGATTGTGGTGACGAGGTATGAATAGTTTGGAGCGACTCCGAAATACCGGCCATCCCTAAATTCACGCATTTCTAGAGTCGCCGCCGAGCTCTTGTCGATGACGTATGTGCCTCGGCATGTACTAAACGTACGCGCGAAATACCTCAGAAACGCCAATGGGTGCGGGAACAGAACACGTTAGTGTGTGGTCGAGTTCATCGAGAGGTGGTATTTTGTATTTTGTTCTTCAGTTCGATCTCGTCTTTTTTGTACAAGACAAACAGGCTGTGAGATGTCGACGGCTGTGGCTGTCTGTGAGCTAATCATTCAGCCGTGGTGCAGCAGCGTTTCTCAAGCTCGAAGCAAATCGATGGCACGGCAATACTATGCTTGAGCGGAGTATGCATTAGACGGAGGACTTGGCAGGACACAACAATCTTGAACTTTGCGGTCAGCTGTGCTCTGTGCGAATGACATGGCGACGACAAGTAGTGCAACGGTGTTCAACACTAACAACGAGTTGGCAGCAGCGGGTCCGCGATTATGCCTCTCGATGGCATGATGCTTCGAGGATTTCGTAGCGTGTCTGGTACACTTGCTGCAAGCCATGAATTGTATTTTTCCCCACTTGTTTTATGCCCCGCGGTGCACACCCCATGTTTATACTGTCCTCTCGCCCCCAAGCAACGGAAATCCAAACCATCATCTCTCTACCCTCCCCCACCCCACCAGCGGCGCATGTTTAAGGACCACAGGTCGGTCATGCACGCCTGCTTGCGGGCGGGCGCGTGGGACAAGGCCCTGTCCGTCTGGTCCGACCTCAGGTCGATCGTCGAGGGGCCCATCCCCTGCGGCCGGACCTACACGGCAGCCCTGCGCGCCTGCGGGCCGTTAGGCCTCTGGGCTACGGCGCGAGACCTGCTGTCGGAGATGAGAGACGGCGCCGAGGGGGCCGAAGGCGATGGGCTGTTGTTGTTACCCGAGGCCCGCCACTACGCCTTTGCGGTGTCGGCAGCGACGGTGGCTGACGATATCTCCTCGTACGAGGAAGCGACGCTGAGCGGACGCGGCGGGTGGGGGGCCGGCGGATCGGACGCTGTGGTGGATGGGGACGGGGGTAGCGGTAATGCGGCGCTTCGGTCGGTGCTGTCCGACATGGCCGCCGGCGGCGGCGGCGGGGTGGAGATCGGGTGGGAGACGTACGCCGCGGTTTGCTGGGCGAGGAGCCAGCGGAAGCAGTGGCACAGGGCCTCCCTGGGGGTGCTGGAGCTCATGGGCGAGCACGGATTTGGGGACGGTGCTCTTGGCACGGAAGAAGCCGCCGAAGGCATGCGGAGTCTCTACCGCCGACTGTTGGCCGCGGCGAGCAAGATCCCAAGATTCGCGACGGGCGCGGGCGGGACGCAGTCGGCGGCGCCCGCGAGGAGCGCGACTCGGCAGGTTCTCTTGGACGCCGAGGAGCGCCTGGCCTCCGTGCCCGGGGGTGCGGGGCCGCAGGTCCTCGCGGCCGCTGCTACCGCCTTCGCCCGCGCCGGCGACTGGGAAGGGGCTCGGGATATCGCCGTGCGGTTCGACCCACGGGTTGGTGGTCCTACCGCGGGGGGTGCATCCAGCGGAACCGGGGAACCGTCTGCCGTTCGAAGAAGAACCGCTGACGCGGCGGCCGTTGTCAGTGTCGCGGTGGCTGCGACGGCCCGCGCGGGGGAGCTCGTTGAGGCGGAGGCGCTGGCGGAGCTGGCGAGGGTAATCGCCACCACGGCAGAGGTAAGCGCCTCCAGTAGCGGGGGCGGTGCCACGGGAGGCGGCAGTAGAAGTCGCGGGTCAGACGGGGAAGAAGCGAGGGTCTCCCGTGGGACGGAACGGAGCAACAACCCGCTGGGCTTCGACCACAGGGCGGGCGTGGCCCTCGCCGACGCGTACGAGCGGGCCGGGCGGCTATCCGACGCAGAGGGCTTGCGCTCGCGGCTGCAGGGGCGGATGGCGAGCAGTCTCGGGCTGGAAGAAGCGGCCGGAGTCGAAGGAGGGGTTGCCGCCGCCCCCGCCGCCTCCGCGGTCCCTCGATTGCCGAGCGTAGGGGGGCACAGCAGACGACGGCGCCCCCTGGCAGAGGGGGATGAGTCGACGTGGCCCCCTGATGAGGAGGCAGGCGGCGACGACGAGCAGTACGATCTGTTTTTGCAGTGGATGGCGACTGGCGAGGAAGAGGAAGAGGAAGAGGAAGAGGAGGAGGGGGACACGTGGTTGGGTGACGATGATTTCGACGATGATGACGACGACCATGTGTTGGTGGCGGGGCCCCCGCGCGAGTCCGACGAGGAGGGTTTGACGATCCGAGAGCTAGAAGGGTGGTGATTTGTGTTGGTATGGCGATCTGTTGAGAGGCTGTGAAATCAGCCTTTGGACGGGGTAGGGTATGTACAGCGGGAGGTGGACCAGGGGGAGGCGGGGGTGATTTTGTGTTTTTTTCGGGTGCTTGCTCGCCGTCGGAGGTGTGGGATAGTCGGTGGGAGCACAAGAAGTATGTATCCCACATGAATGAATGAGCCTGGGAGCAAGATCCAGGGAGGGTTGTTTATTCCGTAGGTTTTAATGGTGCGCTGCTGCTGTCTCCGCGATGATTCGACTGACCCTTTTTTTTTCCGCAGCGGGGGAGGGGCTGAGCCATGCATTCAATCTCTTTTGGGTATTTCATTCAGCCCACCGGGGTTAAAGTTGTTTTTTGGGTTCTGCGGAGGGGTTAGGGTATGGTGGGGTGTATAGTACTTGCCTTTTGGTGTGGTGGCTTGGGGCTGAACAAGGTTCTGGCCACGAGCTTTTTCTTCTTGAAACTTCTTGGCAGGCACCAAGCAAAGCGAGCGAGCGGCGCTGTTTGTTTTAGGAGGATCAAAGCGCTTGGCGGCATACATTTTTTTGCACTATCTCAGTATTTTGAAGAACTTGAGAGAGGAGAGAAGTTGTTTGGTATTTAGCTGTTTGGTGTGCCGCAGCCGGCAAGACTGAGACGGCCGTCACCCCGAGATGGGGTTCATCGCGCGCTCCAGGAACGAAAAACGAAGCGTGCTGAATTTACTTCCTTGACCTGTCGGACATGGGTGCGTGCGTGCGTTTTCGTCTGAAAGGGCGCATCATCATTGGTTGGCTGGAAGTTGTTCATTCTTGCTTGCCCTAGACACAAAAAATAAGTGGTGAGACCATCTCTCTCTCTGATTCGTTGTTGTGGTCGATCGTGTTTTTGAGAAGATGGCATCGGGTGCGCTTATTGATCGGGGATCGGCGAAGAGCTCCATGTTCTAGGTCTGGCTTTCCTAGCCCACCCAACTCAAAACAACATCATCATCATCATCATCATCATCAGCCCGTCCCAGCTCTCTCTCTCGTCGGACGTTTTCTCTTGCCTCAGAGCACGATCTCAAAACTTTACCAAGCGCGTGGCGCGTGCCGGATTCACGGCCGTTGAATCTCACGCGGTGTGTTCTCCGTTCAACGTCTCGCCACTTTGACACAAAAGAAAGCAGATTGGTTCGACTTCTGGCCGCTCGACACGAAAGAAAGCAGTTTGGTGACCCACCTCATCATCCGTGTGACCCAAAAACTCGTAGGCGACAAGAAGTGACGAAATGCCCTTGTGCTGGCTGGTGAGAGGTAAGACAGACAAGGCACGAAGCGAGATCTCGCATCGCAGCGACACGACGATAGCTTGGATAACTTCTTACCGCCGCTGACTACAGTACTCCTGTTACCTGTTGCCCTTCTCTCACGCAGCCCAGTACGTGGGCTCTGAGCACCCGTAAGCTGGACTCCAAACAAGTGCATGAGAATCGAACGAATGCCCCCCGCCCCCGCCTGTGCCTATGCCTATCGCCCGGTCCCGGCATTGTACAGTGGTGATGCGAGGCCAATGTCTAACGACCACGACACGCGTTCACATGAATACGCCCTGCCCCCCGCTCTGTTCGTCTTGCCTCTTTTCACATTCTGCCTCTTGTCTAAATTTATCTCTCTCCTTTGAAACAAAAAATAAACCCGCTATTACAATAGTTAAGCAGCTCAATTTACACCGACCGGCCCAGTTGTGTCTTATTGGCACCTGTACGCCCAGCGAACGACCAAGGGGCCGGAAACTGCGTCAAGTAGTCTAGACCACGATCAAACAAGCTCGTTCTCGCTGGATTTCGACACAAAACCATCCCCATATTATTGGCCTTGGCCAAGCTCGTCACTGTCTTGGAAGCGGCGTGGCGGGGGCAACATCTACAACCAAACCGTGGTTTGACTTCGCCTCTCCACCCCCCCCCGCCGATCAACTATCCCACAGAAAACACAAGCGAACGCATTCCGTGTGACTTCGCCTCTGGAACCCCCCTCAACAAGGCCCGATCAACTATTCCACGGAACGGAAAAAATAAAATCATTCGGGCTTCTTGGAAGCCGCGGTCCGAGCCTTGACCCTCGGGTCGTTGAGAATTTCCTGCTTCCTTTCCTCCGTTACCGGCGGGGGAGGGTCCTGAACAATGGCGAACGGCGGCAGGGGCAGGCTTGCCCCTCCCGCGGAAGCCAGGGACCGGTCCTCGTCGAGAACCAGACCGCGGAACAGGGACGTGAAGTCTGGGGTTTTCCCGGTGGCGTCTTCCGCCTGCGTGGGTGGGTCGGTGGGTGGGTGGGAGTGTACTCATAGTCGTGCTCGTTTGACCGTTGACCTCGGCAGGGAGGAGGGGGTGATGATGGCGTCACTATCATATAAGGGGGTGATTTCTTGGGTTTGTTGTTGTCGCGAGTAGACAACGAGAGGTTTGTGGGGGGTATGAAGCACAACAGCGAAAGCACCGGAGCGACGATAGGGCCCAACAGCGATGGCACGAGGAAAACTAAAAAGCTTGGGTACCGAAACAGCAACTGAATTCTGCCCAGTCAAACAAGCGCCAACGGCCGGCGACAGGGACAGGCACATAACGCAACCGCCAGCGGCAATACAATGACAAGCAGCGGCAAAAACAGTAACTCCAGCAGCAGCAGCAGCAGCAGCAGCAGCAGCAGCAGCAGCAGCAGCAGGCAGCAGCAGCAGGCAGCAGCAGCAACAACAACAACAGCAGCACCAGCAACAGCAACAACAACAACTACGCATACACAACTCCCTCACCTCATCCCTGCGGAGCTCGAACGTCTTCCCCGCCGAGTAAGAGCTGCTCAACGCCGCCGCCACCGTAGACCCAACCTCTTCCCGAGAGACTCTCCCCGACAGCGTGTCGCCCTGGCCCATCTGCAGCCGGACCGACTCATCTCCCTCTGAATTCCATACAATTCCAAAAACAAATGGAGGGTACTTTGACTAAAAGTAAGAACAGGTATTCCTAGGGCGCGAGGAAGCAGAGAGGAGAAAATACCGTAGATGACACAAGATACCACACCCCCGGGCCGATTTTCAAAGCTCGATTTCTCCACAGCAGAAAGAGTGGCAGCGCCGAAAACGGTGGCGTTGAAAGCCGTCTCGTCGAGAGCTTTCCGAAAACGTGTCGTTTCATTTATGCATCGCCTTTGTCGGGGAGTAATCTAGCTAATAAAATCGGTCCCGGGGGTGTGGTATCTTGTGTCACCTACCGTAACGCCATTCAATACATCCAGCATCCGTCTTACAGAAGAAAAAAAGTTGGTGCGTATGCATAGACACCGCCCCACAAATGTTTTTCAAACCTCGAAAAATATCCCCCCGTTGTCAAAAACCCAAATTAGCAGACCAACACACCACAAACAGAACAAGTTTTCGGAATAGAAAAAATAGCAGTGGGGGAAGAGAAGGAAATCGCACACCTTTTCCCTCGGCGATGAGTCCCGTAGCGCGCACGACGCAGTGCCGAAGCGACGATTTTCGGAGGCTGGTCTCGGCCTTGTACTTCCAGTTGAGGATGCCCCCGGGGTTAAGGGCGACGATAGGGATGTCGTTCTTGCGTTCCTCCTCGGTCAACCTGGAGACAGAAGAGCGTTGAAAATGCGCCCCAAGATCGTTGAAAATACTCAAGAGTTCACGGGACCACATACCAAGTGCGGGTTGCGAATGGTGGCCAAGGACAATTCCCGGTAGAAAACAACAACAAAAAAAACGGCGTGTGTCTTCGTCCCATCTATTCTGGCGCCAGTCTGCAGCGCCTTTGTGTGAAGTACTGTACGTGTGATCTATCAGCCGGGGCCACACCATGCCATACAGGAACAGACAGCACCATCGAAGACCGTTCTCGGCACTTTTCTCTGGATACCATACTTGTACACACAAGCCTCCGTGAGCGACCGTCAATACACGACATACCCTTTGCCAAGAGAACAAAACACCGCGACAAAGCCTTCGAAGAAGCCCTGAGAGCCCGACCGGGGATACGCGCAAAAGACGTGCGTGTTTTGTGAGTGGGGTGGTGTTTACGGCGAGGGTCGGGAGAAAGCACACTCGTAACGCAACCAATAGCAACCGCAAGCACAGCAAGGAGGCCTTGTCTTGGACGAAAAGTACGGGATTTAACCTCGAGGTCGATGGTTAAACCGGCCATGTTGTTCTCGCCCCTCCCCCTCTTAGCACGGACACCTGAAATCTCTAGACTGTTGGGAGGTTCGTGTATTTGTTCCCCGCAGGACCGAGCGTTGACTTCGTTAGTGCCCCTTCGCCCAGGAGTAATTCCGCCGCATTTATTGCACGCAATACGCCCGGTTAATTCCCGCCCCAAACGCAAAAAAAAAAGAAGACAAGGATCGAACGAAGAGGGCGAGTAATCTTTGCCGCACCGGTGGTATCGCTCCGCGGAAGCAGAGGAGACGAGCACGAAGTTCGGCCTCGGCTTCTTGTACAAGCTTATCTCCATGAGATCCAGCTGGAAGGCTCCTGCCGTGTACTTGGGGTTCGGGTACTGCTCTCGTGGGCGAGACAGCAATTGAGGGCCGGGGGTCATCCGGTGGGTTAATAAGGTTTTGTGTGCTCCGCTTTGCCTGGGTCGTCGGATGGTCAGTACACAGTAGGCCCATTCTCGCTGCTTAACGTCGTTTTCATCATCTGATGGCTACCTATTGTTCCTGCTCCAAGAAAAGAATAACAAGTACTACAAAAACGCAGCCCCAGCACCAGAACCTACCACCCCTACCACCACCACCAATAACAACAACAACCACAACCACAACAAAAACAAACAAAAACAAACAGGACCACCTACCACCATAGAACACAGAAAAAAAGAAAACCCCGGCAAAGCACACACCTCATTGAAACCGAACCGGCTGAGGACGAGCCCGAGGCTTAGCATCTTGCCGCCAGCAGGGCCTTCATTCACCCGCGGGGCGTTGAAGTCCACGTAGTTACGCTTCACCGCGACGAAGCTCTCGAACGGAAGGTCCACCTATTCGGCGGGATCAGAACCAATCAGAGCCAGAACAATATCAGAACCAGAATCAGAACCAGATTCGGGTATATGATTTCACGCAGTACGTCTGAGTATTATCTCTTGGCGGCGCCCGGAAACACGAAAAAACACGAAAACAGCAAGCGCGGCAGCCTGCCGGTTGCCTTCGCACTGGTGGCTATCGTGGCAACGATCGCCATCACCGCCGATGGTATTTAGCAGCAGCACACTCATGTGCATTGCCTCTCAGCCCTGGTCACGAGCTGTCGTAGAATGCTAGTGGGAGCGGGGGCTGGGTGTCGGCTTGAGCGGTTTTCTAAACGAAGGTGGCGTTTTCACCGTTCGCAAGAGGACTCGAAGCCCCTAACTAAATCATAGCCTACACAAACGAACCGCACACTGTTTATCACCGGGTAGGATGTCCTGTGTGCGAGGCAGGTTGGTATCCTTGAGTGAAACACCACAACCGCTGCCCTACATACCACCGCGTACGTAGTGCCGACATGAAAAACTCATCGCTTTCCCTCGAGCCCCCCCCACTCTCCCTACCTCGATCCACTCTCCCTTGACCGTATCGAACGGCGCCTGATATTGCCGCTCGGCAGTGTTGTCCAGCTTCGTGTCTGGCTTGAGGCGGAACTTGTAACGGCTGCCGTCCCCGCGCACCCGGATGCGAATGCCATCGTAACCCGTGGCGTCGAAGGGCATGTCCTGCCCCGCCAAGGAATGCCGGGGTTGGTTCGTGGGTTTGGGATTCGTTCGGTTTCCGTGTGGGCTTAACATATGATTGGATTGAGCTAAGGTTACCAGGTACGTCACTGGATTCTCGCTCCTGTGTACTGTATGTCGGTTGGGCGGGACCATGGTCAACGTAGGCGATGGCTTTCCCTTGCTATAGCTCGATAATGGAATGGTTCGATCGGCTTGACGATTGGAATCTACTTTTTGGCCGAGTTGACAGCTAACCTGCTGCTCAAAGCCGAAGCGAACACAAGACGAACAAACAAGAACCACACACCAGGTCAAGCACGGCGCCAAACGAGCTTTCAACAACGGGGAGAAACAAAATCTCCCAACAAAACACCCATCAACAGCAACAACAACGACGACAACCACAACAACAACAACCACCACCACGTGTACCACCACCAACCGCGCCACACCGCACCTTGATTACGGTGCCGCAGAAGCCACCCCCTTCCGTCACCAGGGTCCCCGCCCAGCGACCGAACGTCTTCCCAGACTGCCGCTCCAGCACACCCCCTCCCACCCCCTTCTGCCAGGCACTGGAACTCCTTCCTCCCATGATGACATCGTCCAGAGGCTGCCACGCACCTGGGGATCGATCGAGTGAGGCGAACGAAACGGAAATGATTGACGAAGGAGTTTTTTGGCCGAGGCGGGGGGTACTGCTGTGCTGTACGTTTCAAGACTGGCTCGTCACCAGCACGCCTCGGACGGCAAGAGAAATGCCACAAAAAAAATAAAAAAAATAAAAGGAAACACCACACAAGGCTCAAAGAGGTGAGTGTATGTATGTGTGTACTCAATATTTTCGTCTCATTATAATAAATTTTAACATTTTCCACGCAGGAAGTGCACTGCTGACGATCCGAAACATTAGGAAAATAGAGGGCTCATTCTCTATCCTCGGGTCCTACGACCGCACATGGGAGATTACGGAGACACAACACGCAGAACCGCCCCTCAGAACCCAAACAAATACAAACAAACAGGGCGGTTGAGTCTACATACGATCCGAATAAGTCGGTAGATGGCCCATTTTCTATCCTCGGCCGCACATCCGAGATTTCGAAGATGCAACACCCACAACGGAGATGCTCAGAACCCGCACCAATACAAAAAACATAAAAGGGGGGTTAATCCTAGAAATATAAAGGGGGCTCCCATCGGCTTCTGCGGCAACTCGAAACTCCCACCTCCTGGACCCCGCTCGTCGCTGCCGCTGTCTCCCGGAGCAACCAGGACTCGCTCCTGGTCACCCGGGGCTGCTGAGGAGCCATCCCCTTGCTCGAGAAATGCCTCTGCTGCTTCGATGGCGGACTGCACACCCTGGAAGTCGACAGCCTCCGAGGAGCTGCCCTCCTCGCCGAATCGCGGTCCGAGGGCTGACACGACCTGTCAGTGAGTTTGTGGTTGTTGTTGTTGTTGTTGTTGTTGTTGTTGTTGTTGTTGTCTTCACATTAAAGACCGTTCCGATCTCTCTACACAGTCCCGTCCGTACTGATTCGGGGTGAAAATAGTGGTTGTGAGGAGGAGGCCACAGATGGAATGAACCGGGGATACATACCAATACAATTCGGGTCGTATTGGTGGGGGGGGGGGGGGGTCGCCAGTTTTGGTGGCTTCGTGGAAATGGAAGGGCATTGGAGACAAGCGTCTCGTTTGCGGAGCGCGGCTGCGGGTGTCGTGACCATCGGTGGCGCCCAAGTTGCAACGTCACAGCGCACATTTACACAATCACATACACAGGGATACGTAAAAAGGACGGAGGGATCATCATGCGGCACGCGACAGCCAGTCTTCGTACAGCCCGACTGTCGTCGCTCGATCGTGGGTCATAACATCAGCGCTGAGAGAAAGAGCACTACAGTGGTACGCACCAGCACATCGGGCTCAGGTGATGAATCGAATCGACCAAAATCCATGCCCGCTTTCAACGCTGCTCTTGGTGCGGTTTACAGTACCCTCTCACTGCCATAGTACAACAAACAAAAAGTCAACATAGCCTCTTGCGGTGCGCATACAACGATGAGGCAAGCAGGAACCACGGTTCGAGATGATAGGGTTTCCACCGTAAGCCAGCAGAATTTCTTTCGAATCTCCTAACTACCAGTGAAACCATCATTAACCCTCCACTGTGACGACGGGTGCAACAGCGCCACGGAACGTGCCACGCCGAAGGCAGAGGTCTAGACCATCTCACCCTTACGCACAGGGATCTGCAGCAACCACTCAATCCACACACGATAGCTTCTCCTATAGCCCACCTGCGTCACCCCATCAAACAAGGCCTTATTCTTCAGAGTCGCCTCGTCCCTCACGTCAACGCCGCTCTGAACGATGATCGGAACACGATCGAGAAAAAGCAGTGGGAGTTTGTAGTTCGAAATAAGAGAAGCAGAAACAAAAAGGTGCATTTACGGAGATGGAAGCCCGGAAGAATATCTGGGGAAGGGCACAAGAGAGAAGGAGAGAGGGACGAGGGGGCACCGCAGAACCTAACTTGGAGAGAGACACGTCTTGCCAACGCGTAACCAAAGAAGCGATACGACAGCGGTGCTCGCGCAAGAACCAACAATCCCGTGTCCGACGCGGGTACGCACACGGGCGCACGATACTATTTGTGGTAGATCCCAGGCAACTTTCGTAGATCCCCCGCTTCTTGATGCCAGGCCCACGCCACAGAGCCCACACGGTGGCAAGACCTACCGCTAATGGCGCTCCTCCAAAACTACGCGCGGTGCACAACCCTGTCCTCTCAGGCGCCTTGCAAGCGTGTGCGTCACTTCTTCCACAGTATCCTTGGGAATACAGTGGAAACAAGCTCCTGGGGAAGACTTTAGCACATCCCGTTCGACTGTAGCTGTGGTTATATCTCGAACGGGCAGTCTTTCTGTGAGATTACGTTGACTTTCTAAAAACTCCCGGGAGCACAACACTCATCATCCCAAACACTTCGGTTTGCCTACCTGCACAAAGAGCCCCGGGGTGGACGCGTCATACAGCTCCGCCGCGGACTCCTTGCTCCTCGAGGCAACGACCACATCCCGCTTCTGTTTCAGGAGGGCCTCCACGACCTTCTGCCCTGTCTTGCCCGTGCCGCCCAGCACCAGCACGGCGTCCGTGCAGCCTCGCCCGCTCGGCGCCTTCGCCTTCTTGGCGGTGGAAGTGCTACAAACATGTTGCGAAGCGATGGTTATGGAAAGAGATGGTACGCGTCGGAGCGCAGGGGAGTTGCGAGCGGGACCGGGTGAAAATATACTGCTGCTTGGATGCATAGATGTGATGGTCATTGCATGAGTTTGCACACAAAACACCACATGGGATGGGCACTTTTCCTGTTCCCGAAGATTGGTCTCGCCTCGAACGTGCTTCAAGTAGCGAGAGGATCCTGGCTCCTGCTTTTGCGTAGGGTGTGCGATAGAGAAAGAAGCACGGTACCGTATACGACGCAAGAAAACACACACCCTGGGCCGATTTTCAAAGCTTGATTTATCAACAGCAGAAAGAGCGAGGGTGCCGAAAACGGCGGCGTTGAAGCCGGCTGTTCGAGAGCTCTCCGAAAACGTATGGTTTCGTTCATGCATCCTCTTCGTCGTGGAGTAATCGAGCTTTGAAAATCGGTCCAGGGGGTACGCTGACGGCGGGAACCAAATCCGGAGCACAGAGGACTTCTGCGCACGGGACCGATCAAAGTACATTGGCAGCTTGCATGGAGAAGTTACGATCCTGTTGTTCGCTACGGAATACGACAGCTGCAGAGTCAAAGTATGTCACTGCTTGACTGTTCCTACTCTGCACCTCTGAGCTTGCTACCATTGCCTGCTCCCTCTGTGTGTCTGCGGATTGTCGGGCTGGTGGCAAAGTGCTGCCGCTGACGTTCATGATCTTTTCACAAAATTAGCAGCAACGACGAAACACAGATTTTGCGCGTGCATACCCGTCATCAGCAGCAACATGCGTTCAATTTCCAACCGACAACACACGAACCCAAACGGCGACACTCGTCCTCACCCAGCCTTCTTCTTCACAGCCGCCGCAGTTTGAGGCGTGAACGCTTGCTTGAACCAGTCGCCAAGGTCAAACCCACTACCGGTCGCCTCCATGCCCTGGCCGCCCCGAGTCGCGGTCCCTCGAGCCCCTCGTGGCAGCCCTCCCGGGCCGCTGGCGTGCAGCGCGCCCACGAGAGCGCTCGAAGTCAAGCCGACCGCGGCACTCACGGCGATGCACGGCTTGACGATCATGGCGACGTGCTGTGTTGTGGCGGGGTTATTTTGTCATGCATGAGCCGCGCCGACCAAGTCACTCAGAGAGCGTGCCTGTCAGCAAATGCGGTGGAACTCCCGATAAAAAAAAACCAAGGCTGGACATCGATACTGGCTGAAGTCGCCGTACATCCATCGTGCACGTCTGGCGGGCGGTGCCCTTGCGTGTGTGACACCGAAGGGCGGAGAGAGAGAGAGAGAGAGAGAGAGAGAGAGAGAGAGAGAGAGCGTGTCGCTCACTGGTGAGTGTCTTGTGTACCTTGTTGAGCAAAACGATGATCCACTTCGCTCGTCGTTTGATGAGGTCGTTGGTGGCTCCGCAAGCGGGACTGTTAGCTTTTCGTGGCAGCAAGAGCAGCAAGAGAGCAAGTCCCCCGGTTCCCATGTTTCGTCTCGTCGCGCTAGGGTTGGTAGTTGCGGAAGGCTACCGGGTTACACCACATGCAAGATGACGTGGCTGTACTCATAGAACAGCACTGGGCAACAAGCGCCTGGCCCTCGTCCCCATTATGCCCACACGGAGGCAGCAGTGCACTGCTCACGACTTGCAAGGGTCCATTAGACCATCCTCACGCAGTGGCGAACAGGCGGCAACAACTGCAGCACAATCAGCACATCTGTTGATGGCAGCCCTTGATTGTGGTTTTGACCTCCTTGAGAAATAAAGCAGACCGGATTTCCCACAGTCGTTTTTCATTGGCCTCAATTTTGAAAAGCTTGAGGAATACCTTGCGCCCCCGGCAGGCAGCGAACAGCAAACCGATCGGCCTTCCTAAGACACATGGGGAAGTTCCGAGGGCACCAGGATAAGAGCCGGAGGGGAAGGGAGAAGAAGCTCCTAAAGAAGAAAGCCGGGGCGGCTGCTGGTGGAATCCGCGCGGTGGCGGCACAAGCTGAGTCGGCCGTTCCCGGCGGCGACTCTCTGACCAGCAGCAGTCCTGGCCGTCTACAACAGCGGGGGGTAGTAGGCGCGAAGAGGAAGCTCAAGCACGTGACGTACGCCAAGGAACACTCGGTGCTTATCGTCGGAGACGGCGACTTCAGCTTCACGCGTGGCGTTATCCGACACCGGGGAACGGGGTAAGTCTAACCGAGCGCTCGCCACTTCAATATTAAACGTTTCCTTAATTAAACGTCTCTTGGAGCACTTGCCGTCTTGCCGAACAAAACGCAGTACGTCCGTGTCCAAGAACCAAGGTCTCTTTCACCCACGAAACGACCTGATCTGATGAAGCTAGGTTTGTGACTCCCCTCTTGCTTGACGGAACTCCAAACTCTTTGTTCAACTAGTTTGCAACCATTTCCGTTCATTGGTGCAGAGCTGGTGTCGTGGCGACGTCCCTGGACTCCGAGAAAGCTGTACTCAAGAAGTACCCGCGAGCTGAGACTTGGCTCCCCAAACTTGAAGCCGACGGAGCCCAGGTAAACAAACCACCTGAGACGGGCTATGCTTTCTGGTACGGGAAACGTCGAGGACGTGCGGTCAGCCGAATGTCTGTAGATGCATCCTTGATTGTCGTTTGCGTCGACTCTGCTCTGGTGTACTGCTGCGGTGGTGAACGCGACGCAGGCGAAGTCCAGATGAGGGGAAGACTCCGTCAGGCCTAGTTAAACCGCAAATATGACCGCACCATAGATGGTCGGGGGGATATTTTCGTTTTTTGGGGGACTGCCGACACTCACACCCAACACTTTCTGGGCGTCTGATACGGCAGTCTTGGTCTATTCATCCAACATCTTGACCGGGTCTTGTCTACCGTTACCCTTCCGTGATGAATATATTGTACCAGGTTGCACACTCTGTAGACGCTACCAGGCTCGAGGAAACCCTCCTAGGGGCCGGTGAAGGCCGGGGAGATGACGGGGGTGGAGGCGGAGTTGCTGGAGAGAAGACGCGAGTTTTGTTCGATCGCGTCGTCTTCAACTTCCCCCACACCGGTGCCCAGAGGACACACCTCAACCGTAACCTCATCCGAGACTTCTTCGCCAGCACCAAGTGAGTCGTCGCAGCGGAATCGAAAAGCCTCCGCTATCAACCACCCAGCGTTTTTATCGATGTTGGCCTTAAGCGTATATCGATGTTAGTGTTGGCAGTAAATCGTTGTTGGTCTTCGGGGAATAGAGGCCGACCTAGCCTGCTTGCCTGAAAAAGTGCCCCGCCTGCCGTCGTTTGGCCACGGTGGGAAAACAAAGCTTGGATATGATGGGCCGTGGTTTTTGGTTTCCCGCGAGGTGGATCACACGGCTCACGCGGTATTTCGAGGGGGACGGGGTAGAAAGGATTCATCGTTCATGTCTAACTCAGTTCGTAAGAATGCAGCGAGGGAGACCAGTAGGATTCCGCGCTAGACATAAGCAGGTGGAGCCGAGGGAGGTTACATGTGGGGGGTGCGATGCGCTGTTTCGTTTTCTTCTGACATGTCTTGGTCTCCGAACATCTGTGCCAAACGAGCAACGTGCGCAATACAGCGACAACCGACCACGCTCTTGTTTCTTGGCGGGCAGTTCATGTGCATGCCCTGTCCTCTTCCGACGGAATCGTGTGAAACTCAGCCTGAGCCCCTCCCCTCTCTCCTTCCGATTGTGAAAGGGGATTGGTGAAGTGCGCGGCGGCCGGGGGAGAGGTGCACGTTACCCTCAAGGACAAGCCTCCGTACTCGGGCTGGAATGTGAAGTAAGCCATCCGTTCGTTATGTTGCTTTTTTCCTGGCTTTGCTCTTGTGCTTTCTTCCTACGGTCCTGACAATCGTAGCCATTCGTGTTGAAATGTTCTTATTTTGCTTGTTGATGTGGTTCTGTGACTTTCTCGGTGCTATGGACTTGCTCTTGTTCTTCAGTTTATTTCGTTGGACCACCAATCATACCTCGCAGCTGGTATCCTTGTTATCCTCACGCGAAACGATCCGCTTCTGTGTCCGCAGGGCAATGGCGAGGGAAAGCGAGCTGATCATGGTGAGGTGCCTTGCCTTCGACCCATCGGTGTTTCCCGGCTACCGCCACAGCACAACCGACCCTCAGGTAAACAAAACCACTGAATTGTATTCTAGCTCACTCGTGCTTGACTGACTGCTTGTCAAGAAGCGCATGGAGCAGCAGAGGAAGTTCTAGCCCCAGGCTAAACGACACGGAGGAATTTCCAGCCTCCGGCTAAATGAAGCCACTGAGTTTGCGGTGGTTACCATGGGCTGCGGTGGATGTTTGGCCGATGAAAACGTTAAGGAAGTTGTCAAGTCGGAGTGAATATTACAGAAGTTGGGAAGCCCAAGTGGATACCTCCCGTCGTCCACCGCTATATTTCTATCTCAGTCAACCCTTTTTGTGTTTTGTTTGTGTCCCTGTGCCCCTGTTTCTTTTCCACAGGCAAAGAAATTCGACGCGGGAGGGGCCAGGACGAACGTGTTCTGCCGGGCGAGATCCGAGCTTGACGACAACGTGAGCATCGTCCGTTGAATTCCATTCATGTTTTCCATGTGCATGTCTACGCCCTCCCCAAAAGCCAAGAATATTTTCATGTCATGAACTGGAAGGAACACCGCCATTGTTTTATCCCGCTACCATGCTTGCTGATTCACAAATACGCATATTTTTGCAGCCTTTGTTTCACCCTTCCGCATGAACTGCTAATCGGTCAGACCGGAAGGGTAGGTGATGATGTGCCTCACGCGTGCATTCCGGCGGTGCGCGGATGCTGAATGGGCTGCTTGCGCTGTGATCCTTGCCGTGTGCTTGTGAAACCAACCCGGGAAACGAAGCTCTTGCTGCTGCGATTGGTCACAATATCAGCTCGAGACGCGTCGGTTCGCGATGCCTGATGGCTCTATTTACAATGTTGCGCATGGATTGACTGCTGTAACCAGGTGGATGAGTCAGGCGCCTTCCCGGTGATAGTGCGACGGGGGGGAGCAGCCTCCTCTGCGAACTCAGTTGAGACTGCCAACAACACCGGCGACAGCAACGATTCCGACGACAACGTCTACGGTGATGACCACAGTAGTGAAGACGACAACGCTAGCGACAACAGTGACTTGTTCGGCGGGGGCGGCTGCGGGAGCGGGGACCCCGATGGCGGCCTGGGGTCTTGGGACGACGAAGAAAGAAAAGGCGAAAAAACAACCGCCTCGGCGGGGGCGGGCGATGTCGCCCACGGCAGCGGCGGTGTTGATCAGGCAACCGCCGATGCTAACGGCAGGAAGAACCGAGGGAAGAAGAAGAAAACTGGTGAAAAAGGCGGTGTCGGCGGTGTTCCCAGTGGCAGCGAGGCCGAGGAGGTTAATGAGGGGAAGGGGTCGGTATCGAATGGGGCATCGAAACGCGGCATGCTTCAGCCTCCGGTGCAGAAGAAGAAGGCCGCGAAGCGTAGAGCACAGCGTAAGCGAAAGGCCGCCGCTGCTAAAGAAGCAGCAGCCGCTACAGCCGCGGCGGCAGAAGGGGCGCCGACAGGAGAGGGTTTCCCACAGGGCGACGGCGTGATGCCTGCCAACAAGGCAAAGTCTCCCAAGCGAAAGCGAGGGAAGTACGTCGTCAATTCGGCGAAGAAGCGGCCGAGAGATTGATTAATTAATATGCGGCTCCGAGAGACGGCGATTTGTTTTTCGTTGACTACTGTGGCTCCTTGTAAGGTTATTTTGTTTGGTGATTTGATTGAAACACACAAACCCTGCAAGCTGGGAAACAACAACAGTGCGAGCTGGGAAACGACTTGTTTCCGTACTTCGCGAGGGGGGGAAACACTCGTCCTTTCTTGTTGCAGCCAAGAAATGAGTTTGACTTGAACATCGATCGTTACTATGTCAAGGCCCTACGCATGCATTGCCAATTGGCTGTTTATGCTTCTCTTTTTTGAGAGTGACAGAGAGCCAGCGAGATGGCGGCATTTAGCCAAGCAGTAGCAATACAAGCAGCGTCGTCGATGTTGTTGTCACTGATGCTGTGGTAGCACTTCTCTTTCTCTCTCTCTCACTCCCTCTGCCGTTACGGGTGCATCTATTTCCAGCTCTCTCTTCTGTAGCGCCGCCGGTTGATTCCCCGGCTTGCCCCCCCCATGATTGTTCAAAAGAACGTCAGGCCTGTCTGTCCCAGCCAGTTCTTATCGCGCTCACAGCAGTTGCGTGCAATCGCGCGCTGTGCGGGCATGCGCCACGGCGAACCAACGCACGGGTGATGATCCATCGACTTGAAAAGGTTACGTCTGCGATGAGACATGATGGGCGTGCTTAGTGTGAATGTTGTGAAGGTGAAGTCTTGGTAGACAGGTTCAATAAGGAGGAGCTCAGAAACGTGACGTAGGCAATTACCTCCTGAGAATTTCCTGTGTTCCTCGATGCACCATGTGCTCGGGCCGCGGCTTACTGCATGATCATGGTTATTATAAGTGACGTCAAGAGCTAAAGATGGACGTACAACCCGGCCTTGCTAATGATCGTGGAGCTACAACAGTGTAAGCCGCGCAGGTCATGCAAGTAACACCCGGTGAAGAGGCAGGAGCAGGGGGGGTGGGGCCGCAATCTCTCGGGATCATTGTTTCGAAGGATGATACATGCATTCTTTCCAATCGCACCTACTGTACGACCAATCGACCGTCGCGAGCACAGCCGTATTTGCCCACGGTAAGGCCTTGCTTTCCACCGAGCAGTAAACATTCGGGGTCATCACACAGGATCAGTCGGCCCTGTGGCTCATGGCTCGGGCGGGTTTGCGAGGACGAAATGGCAAAGACGTTTTCCACCTCTTCATTATCGGGCTCAAAAGCCCTTTCCCAGTTCAGGGCGACTCGCGATATCCTAAATTTCACACCGCTGTTTTTGCCTGAAGCTTCGTTTTGCGACGATTCCTGCTCGCTCGTCATTGATGACGTAAATGAAACGTGCCACTTTACTCTAGGACGGCAATGCCCTTATGGATGCGAAATGACCTAGATAGAAGCTCGATTGAACTCTTCATAAACTCTTGTCTCACAAACACGTGCTAGGAGAGTACTCCAGGAGCCAGAAAAAATAATATTCACACTAAAATGCTCTAATGTTAAAGAGAAAGAGTGCTACCAGGCACATACGACATACGACATACCAACCACCACGGTATTGCTGTACAACTGTTTTCCTCCCCCTTGCATAACCGCCGCGTGCGCGTCAATCTATACTGCAGTGTGTACACAGAGACTTTTGCGCCCAGAACATATGTGACGAAATCCCACAAACAACCCCACACAAAACAACACACGACAAGATCCGAAAAATAAATATCACTACCACGACAGGAAAGGTACCGTAATATCCAACAAAGGCAGGAGGATCAACCAAGCACAAACAACGCGCGCCCGCGTCGAGACTGGAGGCCGAATGACAGCAAAGCGTACAAAAAGGACCTAGACTAGAACGATATAAAACCACAACGTGCTCATAAAAAAGTGAAAAATCAGCAATCGTTGCGCATGCCTCCAAGGATCCATCCCGGGTTCGAAGTTCTAGTAATTAAACATTGAGAAAATAGTATGAGCCCGTCAGTAAAATGAAGTAAACTTCAAGTTTGCGCTAAAAATGTTGTGGAGAATTCATGACTGACGTCTAAAGCATAAATCGATAGTAAACCTTCACACGACGGGTGACGACAACCAACCACGAAACGAAAGACTGGTCCACGGATCGATACCCGGCGAGTGAGCGAACTATAAAAAACGTCAGACTAAGGCGCCTCCATTCACTCGCCGTGACTAAAAAAGGAGCTGGGATTCCCCATCTAGCTAAAAGCCCTAACGGGTTCCGCCGAACTTGAACAAGTTGAACGCGTTGAACCCACCTGGGACAAACGGGCGACAGCGAGGGGGGGGGGGATGGAAGGACACGAGTTAAGAAGATGGGGCAGTCATATCCACAAGGCTCTCATTCGTCACAAAAAAATGAGTTCCTGTCATGCCATCATATCCGGCCCAAGGTGGAGAGATCACCTGATGGGCTCCAACCCGAGCGTCAAGCTGTTGGCCTCTTCGTGTACCTCTCGATTTCGAACTCTCTTTTATGTTTCTATAGATTCATTGCCATATTGCCGTGCTGGTCTTCCAACAATCTCGTTGGTTTCCTAAACCCCGCTCTCAATCTCACTCACCGCACGCGACCGCAGGGTCACCGGAGCAGCCCGCGAGACATGATCCCCGCCCGCTCCTCGTGTAGTCCTCCTCTTCCTCGGACATTCCGCACCAGCACTCTTCGCCGTTCTGTTGAGCCAGGAGACGAACAAGCGCCAGAGGCGGGGATCGAATACAACGAAGGAAACCACTGGTTAGCCACATGTTGAAGGGCAGAGGGGGGTGAGCCATCGGGCACACAGCGAACAGAACAAAGGAAAGAAACCCGAGCTCAAAGAGCACCACCACTGCTGTAGCATACCAAAACAGGGGAGAAAGCCGGCAGCAGTAGCGCTTTCGTCGAGCGCGGGAGGCTGCCCTTTGGGTTCGTGCGGCGGCCTGCCATCAATCATCTCGCCTACAGTGCTCTTCAACAATGCAATCCCCACCACCATTCACCTGTGTCGCGTAGAAGTTGGCGTCGAGGTCCTCACAGTACGTGCGGCAGACGGCCTGGGTCATGTCGGGCTGCGACTTGATCTCGCCGCCCAACACCCAGTCTTCCGGGTTGTCGGCGAAGCACCCCACGTACTCGTCGCCCGTGGGTTCCCTCGGTTCCGTGATCTTGTAGAGGTCTGGATACCACGGCGCAGGAATCAGGCGGCGCGGGGGTGAAGATCGTGCGTAAAGGCGACACGCCCACGATGCGTGCGTGCGTCATACGTGCTGCATATGGACGGCGAAATGACAGCTACCGCACCACCAAGATAACGCTTTTCTAAGAAAACCACAGCCATGACCGACGACATCAAACCGCGTCTGCCTTCTCTCGACAACCGCCTTCACGCGTGTTCGTGAAGCCAAACCACCATTTCCGAGACATCCGGGAACGTTTCAAGCGGCGAGAGCGGTCGCCCCCATACGTGAGACGAAATCAGAAACGGAAACGAACACTCACCGAAAGCGTCGAAGCCACCGCAATAGTCCGCCTCATCCCCGCCGCACGCGTGATCGCACACGCCATCGGAGTGGCGGTCGTACTCGGTCTCTGCGTCGACGCTGCACCAGCACTCGATTCCGTACTGGGTAGCCATGTAGGTGGCTCGCCTCTCCAAGCAGTACTCGAGGCACACCTGGGTAGGGAAAATGGAAACCAACTATCAGTCACTAGCCGGGTCCAAAGCGAATATTTTCAACACCCGAGATGGGGTAAAAACGCCTACAGACACGCATGCCTCTTAGTTCTGTACACCAAAAGTCTGACTACTACAGCTGTACCGATCGCGATTACCAAGGGCTATGGGAAGCGGGACATCAAAATCTACACAAAAGAGCGAGCTCGGGTGGGAGAAGAAATACTGGCGGAAGAGTCACGACAAAGCGCATTCAAAGACAAACGAGCGCGTAAACTTACCGCGGTGGTCATGGTGAACGAAGTCCTCATGTACTCGAACACTCGGTCGTGCTTGTTGTCCGCAAAGCAGCCGACGTACGAGTAACTTGCCTCGACCGGCAAGGTTACGGGCATTTCGTACACAGGAGCAGCAACTGTTTGCTCGGGCTCTGCAGTGGGCTCAGGCTCAGGCGTCGGTTCGGGAGTTGGCTCGGGCGTCGGCTCCGGCGTTGGCTCGGGAACCGTGGGCATTTCGCCTGTAAAGGGTTATTGTTAGGGTTAGAGGCATGTGCACGTTTCTACCGGAAGAAATGGGGGGGAACCCAAACGCCTTATTCAATATTGTTGTACAGTAGCTCGACCTACCCGCAGAGCGTTGCAAGCAAAGCAAGTCCCACTATTGCATGCGGAAACACCCAAATAGCCTGTGAGAAAAAAGGGGACACTGCGGCTTACTCAAAGGTTGTTGGTGCAAGGAGTAGAAAGAGGATTGTATCCATATGACAACTGCGTGTAGAATACGGGTTGCCTAGGGATAATCAATCTCACCGTCGGCCACCAGAGTGATGTCGGAGCAGCCGAAGAACACGTTGCCCCACTTCTGGCCTTCGTCGCTGCAACCGGGGTTCTTGTGCGGCAGCCAATCCTCCTTGTCCGGCGCGCACTCTCCCGGCCACTCGGGCTCGAATTCGTGGTAGCCGGGGTGGTGGCACCCGACGTACGCGTCTGCCAAAGGTAGAAGGATGGATGGGACATTGTTAAACATATGATCCTTGATGATCCAGAGAACCTACGAACTGCTCTGCAACTTCCTACGAGGGGTGCCGTAGAGGTAGGTCTCTTGTGCGGTGAGCTCCAGTCCTTACAGTCATCAAGGGGCTGCACTGGTGACGCCAAGCACAATGTTTGCTGGGGAAAAGGGTTATGCGGGTGAAGAAATACGCGGAAATTTTTGACACTGGTTCCAGAAACTACACAAAAATGGTGGTATCGTTGAGAGCCAGGACACGTACGTACTCACAGTATTTCATCTGGAGGACGCAGTGGTCGCACTGGATGTTCGGCAGATGGTAACGTCCAACGTTGATGTAGCCCTGCAAAAGGCAAGAAGTTGGGCATGGGGGGGTGAGTTAATATTGGCCTCGGCCCCCGATAGGTGTTTCCCTGGGGAAGCACAGGTTAGCACAACGCGGCGTGACAAGCATTTCACGCCGCACGCCTTTACCAAGCCCAACATAAATATGGACGTCGGCAGCTCGCTCTGTCAAGAGCAAAACCTATCGTTATTTGATAGCCACTTCTCAAATACACCACCCGTCGATCCGAAAGCGTTATTCTCCAGGCCCCCCTCCCCTCGAACAACGAAACGGCGTTTTTGATACTGATTGGAGTACAACTACGCTCGCAGCAATGATGCTGCTAGGCGTGCTCTGGATATGCGAGCCCTTTACAAGCATCGCCTACCCAAGACATCTACCAAGTTGGACAGATTGCTCACGTTGTCCAGGCCACTATCGCCACCGCTGAGCACGGGCCTGCCTGATTGGTCGGTCTCTTCATTTTGACCGCGGCACTCGGGGTTCACGAAGAAACGCCCGGGGTAGTCCGGGTCGATAGGGCTGTTCCACCCATCGGTCTCGTCACGGTCGAGCGGGTACATGTTCAAGCAGTCCTGGGTAACCACGTCGTCAGGGTCGTCTGATTTCCGATGGGGAAGAAGGTTGGGGTGGGGGCTCAGTAATGAGAGTGCTGCCATACGTTTGGCATGTACTTGATGTTCATATGGCCTATGCTATTTCCCGCGGACAAAAAAATATTCGCACGGCAATGATGCGCGCAGGCCAAGGAGACTAGCATCAGAAAAACGCGGGCAAGTACCACCCGGAAAAGGACTGATGCACGAGACTCACCCATGTCAGCGGTGTCGCAGAGGAAGTACTCGATGTGCCCCTGTTGGTTCCGGGAAGGAAGGGACGGGCGGGAATCACGGGGTGTGATTTACAAAACGTGAAGCTCGTTCAAGCTCACGCCGATGATGCTTTTGCCAAAAGCTGGGAATCGTCTTTTGGCTGATTTCAACGTGTACAGGCTGCAATTACAGAAGCGCAGAACTCCTGAATTAGTAGCCTCGCCTCAGACACTTTTCGCACCGCCCGGGTACAAGAATGAGTTTCTCACGATCCTGCTTGTGCGACATCTTAAACTCCGCTGTTTCCAGAAACGATGTTCGTGCCTCATCTGTGAAGCAAACAAAAGCCACACCAGAGTAGGGGCTTGACTCGTCACATCACGGCTTTTCTTGTTTCCAGCGGTGTGTGTGTGGAGGGTGATGCACAAAGATGAATTGCTTGAAGGCGTGCATAGTATCGCGTAACGTAGACTCACCCAGTGGTTGTTGTTGATGACGGCCTTGAGCTCGATGATAGATCCCGACGTGTACGTCGAGATCGGACGCCAGAGGGTGTTCGAAGTGCTGTACGTGTTCGGGTTGTCCAAGCCGCCCTGTATTTTTCATACGTAAGCATGGGTTTCGTTAGGAGTTATTTGGGTAACGTTTTTGAACACGACCATTGTGAGTGGCCGATTTGAGAATTGAGGGAGAAGGTGCTGATCGCCTTTCGAGGAAACCCGGCGAGTGGGCGACATATCGAAGACGCTCGTACTGGTAGATAAACAATCGGCGTTGTCCTTACCCGACTTGTTCAAAACGCCGTCGCAAGGTTGCGCGAAGGCACTCTGCGATAAACTGTCGTAAACAGGTCGCCAATCTTGGTGCATTCACCGTGTCTCTCGCTAGGAAGCGATCGCGTCACTGACCTGGGGAGGGTCCCCGCACACGCCGTGTCCGACGGCAATCTTGTCGCTCTCGAGGTAGTTGTTGTTCGGGCACCTCTCCCCCTTGTCCCAAGCCGCCCCCACGATCCAGACGTCGCCGCCACCGTAGTCGGCAAGGATGTCAGGATCGATGTTGTCGATTGTTCGGGCCTGGACCGCGTCAGCACCTACGATTCAGCGCAAGGATGCGGCAACGACGCTGCGAGTGTGAACGTGTGGACCTTCCATGCCGGGGGGGGATAGTGGACGCTAAAGCGGCGACCCATGGTCGGCGATGTATGGATACGGGCTTCGAGAGTCGTCAACGTGGGCGATAAGCAACGTTGGTTCATGTCGTGTACCGGATATCTCTCTGTACCGAACGTGTTTATCGAGCAGGCGTCCGCTTCAAGAGCCGGTGTATGTAGCGTCATTGGAAATATACTCACAAGGTAAATGAAGAATATATCCATCTTGCCGGCATCAGCTCTTCCCAAACTACGTACAAGTAGAGTCAACCGTTGCAAATGTCTTCAGTTTGTACTACTGTACCCACTGGAGTTTACACCATTTTTTTGGCACGAACATTCAAAAAGAGACAAACAACGCTACATACAGCCCCCTACACAATAATCGTTGTCCTTTCCTTCGACTCGAAAACCGCTGTAGCATTGAAACATATGCATGCGTAGTCTTTATTCGCTCCAGAAAAAAACAACGATTCGGAACAGGTCCGCCGACCGCCGACCATCACAGAACGAGAAGTGCCAGGCTGGAGACGGCTTGTTGCCGGACCGTCGAAATAAAACACCAAAATTTGATCTGAAAGCAGAGCGTATATTATGTAACAGTGGGTAACTTATCGCGATCATTCCAAGTATGCATAAAAGGATACTCCACATACCTCCTCCGTTGAAGGATCCCGCCCACCTCTCTACGGAGTGCACGTAGCTGCGCGTTTCGTGGGCGGGGTGGGGGAGGAGGAGTAAAACACGAAGGAGAGAATCGTGAGTACTTCATCTTTGTTCTGACTCCGACAACAACACCGCCGTTCAACAGCAGCAGGGGATTTCGAAAAAAACACTCCCTCTCGAAAATGTTACTGCCGCTGCTGCTGCCCCACATGTAATCAACAGCAGTAACTCAGTTTTCGAGCGCGTAGTCAGAGACGAGCGTCCGAGATCTGCACGGCTGCAACGACTGTCATTGCACTGCTGTAGATGAAATTTCTACACCCACCCGCATGACAATATCGAAGAAGCTGTGAAACAACGTCCCCAAAACTATCGCACACACCCTGGTCCAGGCAAAAAGCAAGCAAGCCTCTCTACAGGCTAGACTAGGCTCATGATGCGTATACGAAACTCCTGCAGTCGCTCCTCGACTAGAACAACATCAACAACTGCAGCGCATGCATGGGTCATTATGGTTGCGTGCCCCTCACCCGTCATTAAATTCTTGTGATCGCAGGTATTGCCGGCTGATTGGCTCGATGACGAAGCCATGTCCGTCCACGGCAGCTGGTGCCAGCATGCCAAACACTGCCACCGCCCCCACCATCCCCGATGCAAACGGAGCTGGAGTCATCGTGCCAGGTGGTCTCGAAACCTGACTTCTATCAGCGGTCTGGGAGGTGCGAGGTGGATGGGTGTGAGATGGGTGTGAGATGATGTGCTAAGGATGAACGGACGGATCGCCGGCGGACCACAAAACAAGAACAGATGAAAAAAAATGAAATCCAACAGTCCTCTCCTGTCACACCCGCGCACCGCGCAACAACGGACGGTTGTACATATAGTCACTGCTTGAAGTTTCCTATTGTAATCTCCACACGAACTATGTACAGCCGTAGTTGGCTTGTGACCAAGGGAGGCGTTCCGCGTCAGTTGGACCAGCATGGATATTAGAGGGTACAGAGCGGAGTCCGGAACAATTTGTAATCTGAAGACAAACAACCACCCACAACACAACCTCTCATCTTGTTACCATTGCATGTCTACGGATTGTCGGGCGGGTGGCGAAATGCTGCCGCCGTTGCGCTTCATGATCTTTTTCAGGAACGACGAAACAGCCTCTTGCTTGAACCACGCATGCTGATTGGATGACGCAAACAGTCCCTTCCCAGGGTGCAAGTACGAAGCTGCCATTACGTACCTGAGTCTCTTCTTTTCCTCTCGAATTGAGTGTCATTTTAGACAGCAATTGGCGGGAGCATGGCAAACGGGGCACCAAAAGGACATTTTCAAGGTATTATCCCTCTAGAGGGAACGCGAGGCCTTCTAATCCAAAGCCCTACAGCAGTTGGTTGCCCGGCGCTTCCTTTCATCGGCTGCTGCAAGGCCAGTCAGCACATGCGGTGGAACTCCAAATAAAAAAAAGAAGCCAACCTGAATATCGTAGTCGCCGTACATTGTGCACTTCTGGCGGGGGATGCTCTTGCGTGTGTTAAGCCGAAGGGTCGAGAGAGAGAGAGCAGGCGTGTCGGTAGCTGGTGAGTTGCTTGTGTACAGTATTCGAACAAGCCACTTTGCTTGTCGTTTGATCAATGTCGTTGTGGGCTCCGCAAGCGGGACTGTTTCCTTTCGTGTCAGCAGCATGATCGGCTCGTACTCGTGATTTCTCTCTCCCGTCGCGCTACATGTCGTTACCGAAGGCTACCGGATAACACCACATGCGAGCTGCCGTGGCTGTACTCAAAGAACACCATGGACAACACAAGCACCTGGCCCTTGTCCCCATGATACCCACACCAACGGAAGCACAGTCAGTGCGCTGGAGTATTGCGAGCTCGCAGTCGTCTATTCGTCGAGACTTCGAGATCATCCATCCGTAGTGGTGAACAGCGGGCAAAAATACAGCACAATCAGCACGTACTTTGATGGTGACGTTTGTTCGGGATTTAACTTGACGAAGATAACACACCAGATTGTCCACAATGGTTTTTCACTTGTACAAAACCACGTAGTCTTTCTGTGAGATTTTTGCATTCTATACTTTCTAAAAACCACATTCCCCCGCAGGCGGAAAACAACAAATTCATCATGTTTCTCCAACATGGGGAAGTTTCGAGGGCATCAGGATAGGAGCTGGAGGGGAAGAGAGAATAAAATCCTCAAGAAGAAAGTCGGGGTGGCTGTTGGGGGAATCCACGCGGCGGCACAAGCTGAATCGACCGTTTCCGGCGGCGACTCTCTGGGCAGCGGCAATCCTGGGCACCAACAACAACAGCAACAGCGGGAGGCAGTAGGCCCGAAACGGAAGCTCAAGCACGTGACGTACGCCAAGGAACACTCGGTGCTTCTCGTCGGAGACGGTTGCTTCAGTTTCAACTGTTGTGTTGAACACCGGGGAACGCGGTGAGTCTAACCATGCTTCAGTAAGACGCACACCTCTTGGAACACTTGCCAACAATGGGTACTCCCATGTGCGTCGCACTAATATTGCGCAGCCGTGAACAACTAAGGTCTCTTTGGCCCACGAAACGATCTCACCTGACGCAGTCCGGTCACCGTTATTTGTGACGCTCTTGCTGTTCCTTGACGAAACTCAAAACTTCTTGTGTAACTCCTTTGAACCTTTGAAACCGTTTTCGTTCATTGGTGCAGAGCTGGAGTCGTAGCGACGTCCCTGGACTCCCTAAAAGCTGTACTCAAAAAGTACCCGCAAGCCGAGACTTGGCTCCCCAAGCTTGAAGCCGACGGACCCCAGGTTAAGCAAACAGCCTTAGGCGGACATATATATGGCGAGACTGTTTATAGGACAGCAGACATCTAAGGCTTGCAGCCGGCCGTATGTCTGTATGTGCCTCCTTGATTGTCGTTTTCGTCGACTGCCCTGGTGCTGCGGTGGTGAACGAGGTGCAAGAGAAAACTAGACGAGGGGAATACTCCGTCAGGCCTACCCACACCGCAAACATGGTAGGTAGCAAGGGGGTATTTTTGTTTGAGGGACTGTCGACAATGGCAACATAATCTGAACGTCTGATGCATTTTGTTCTACAAAGGATCATTTTCCTACATCCGGCCGGGTCTTGTCCACCGTTACCCTTCCGTGGTGATTTTTTGTGCCAGGTTGCACGCGCCGTTGACGCCAACAGGCTCGAGAAAACCCTTCTAGGGGCGGGTGGAGGCCAGAGGGACGGTGCGGAGTTTCTGGAGAAAAGAATCGAATTTGGTTCCACCGCGTCGTTTTCAACTTCCCCCACACCGGCGCCCAGAGCACACACCTGAACCGTGACCTCATCCTAGACTTCTTCGCCAGCACCAAGTGAGTCGTCGCAACGGCACCAAAAAGCCTTCGCAATCAACCACTTAGCGTTTTTATCGATGCTGGACGTAGCAGAAAGTCGATATTGGTCTTTGCAAAAGTAAGTCGATGCTAGTCTTGGCAGTAAATCGATGTTGGTCTTAGGAGCATAGAGGTCGGCCTCGGCTGCTTGTCGGAAAAAGTGCACGCCATGCCGTCGTTTGGCCACGATGGGAAAACAAGGCTCATATTTTTCCTGCGAGATGGCTCACACGGCGGCTCATGCGGAACTCGCCCGGGGACGGAGTAGAAAGGAGTTTTCATCCACCATTGTCCAAATCATTTCGTAAGGGTACAGCGAGGGAGAGGAGTAGGATTTCACGCGAGACCGGCGCAAGTGGGGCCGAGAGAGGGTGGGGAGGGGGCAACGTGCTGCAGTTTTTTCTTCGTTTTGGCCGTGACGTGTCTTTGTCTCCAAGAATCTCCGTACCAAACGAGCACGCGCGCAGTACCGATAACAGTCCACTCCCTTGTTTCTTGGCAGGCAGTTCGTGCGCGTTCAACCCCCATTTCCCCCCCGAAAGAATCGCGTGAAGCTCTGCCGCCGCTGATTGTCTCTGTCCCCTCTTTCCTTCCGATTGTCAAAAGGGGATTGGTCAAGTGCGCGGCGGTCGGGGGACACGTGCACGTTACCCTCAAGGACAAGCCTCCGTTCTCGGGCTGGAACGTGAAGTATGCCATCCGTTGGTTCTGTTGCTTATTCGCCTTGCTCTGTACTTGCTTGCTACGGCCCTGGAACTATGATGTTGAAGTGTTCTGAATGTTTTCGTTGATGATGTAGTTGTGTGGAGCTTTCTTGGTGTTGGACTCGAATTTGTATTGTTGTGGATTCGGTTGATATTTGATGTTTTAGAATAGTTTAGACAACGGAAAACGTATTTCAACGAAAAATATTACACAGCTGGGGTATCCTTATTATCTTCACACGAATCGACCCGCTCCTGTGTACACAGGGCAATGTCGAGGGAAAGCGAGCTGATCATGGTGGGGTGCCTGGCGACCCATCGGTGTTTCCCGGCTACCTCTACAGCACAACTGACCCTCAGGTACAATAAATCACTCGAAGCTCACTCGTTCTGGACTGAATATTCGTCAATTGCGCATTAAACACCGACGAGATTTCGAGCCCGATGCTAACCGAAGCGGAAGATTTTCTAGCCTCAGGCAAAATGAAGTCACTGAGTTTGCAGCGGTTACCACAAGGTACGCGGTGGATGTTATGTCAACGTTGAGGAAGTTGTGAAGACGGGGTGAATATCAAGGACGTCGTGAAGCCAGAGTGAATGCAACCCGCCCCCCACCGCCGTGCATGGAAAAACACTTTCGGTTACACCCCGCCCCCCCCCCTGTTTTGGTGTCGTCCCCGACGCCCCCCTTCCTTATCCGCAGGCAATGAGGTTCAACGCTGAAGGGGCCAGGCGAACGAACGTGTTGTGCCCGGCGAGATCCGAGCTTGACGACAATGCGAGCACCGTTGAAATTCATTCATATTTTCCGTATGCATCAAATCATTCGTTCTCCCCAAAAACCAAGAACGAAATTAAATGAACACCCCCAGTTTTTATGCCGTTATCCCGCAGCCCAATTCTTGCATACGCATAGCATATCTATAAGTACCCTTCCACATGATGGATTGCTAGTCGTTCAGACCAGGTGATTGTGTGTCTCCCGCGTGCTTTCCGGCGGTACGTGAACGCTGTGCTGTGTGACCCTTGCCGTGTGCTTGTGAAGCCAACCCGGGAAGATATAGCTTTTGCTTCCGCGGTCGCGAGACGCGTCGTCGGCGCACGATGCCTTGCTTATGGCTCTACAATGTTGCACATGGATTGAAAGCTATTAATTACAAGCTGGATGAGTCGGGCGTCTTCCCCGTTATGAGGCAATCGGGGGGACAGCCTCCTCTGTGAACGGGCAACCGGTGCGACCGCCAGCAACACCGGCAGGCAGCAGCAACAATTCCGACGATAACGTCTACGGTAATCACTGCAGCCAGCCGTGAAGGCGACAACGCTAGCGACAGGAGTGACTTGTTCGGGGGGGGCGGCTGCGGGAGTGGGGACCCCGACCGCCGCCTGGGGTCTTCGGACGACGAAGAACGAGAATAAAGAGAGCGAAGAAACCATAATATCCGCCTCGGAGGGTGCGGGCGATGATGCCTGCAGCAGTGAAAGCGGCGGCGGTGTTGATCGGTCAGCCGCCAACGCTAGCGACAGGAAGAACCAAGGGAAGAACACTAGTAGTGAAAACGGCGGTGGCGGCGGTGTTCCCAGTGCCAGCGAGGCCGAAGAGGTTGATGACGGGTAGGGGATGGCATCGAACGGGTCGTCGAAACGCGGCACTTCAGCCCCCGGTGCAGAAGGACAAGGCCGCCAAGCGTAGAGCACAGCGCAAGCGCAAGGCCGCCGCTCCTGAAGAAGCAGCGGAGGGGCGCCGAGAGGCGAGGGTTTTCCACAGGACGGCGTGGTGTCTGCAAAGCAAAAAAAGTCTCGAAAGCGGAAGCGAGGGAAGCACAGTTGTTGTCGGTTCGGGGAAGGAACGGCCGCGACATTGATTATTTATTGCGGCTCCGACAGACGGCGATTTGTTTTTCGTACACTGCTACAGTTCCTTGTGAGGGTGTTTCGTGATGTGATCGACATACATACACAAACCCTTACGATACAAGCTGGGAAAAAACATCCGCGCGAGCTGGGAGTCGACTTGGTAGCCTTGCCGTGCTTCGCGACGAGGGACAGAGTCGCTATTTCTTGTTGCAGTCAAGAAATGATAGAAACGGCCCGGCCTTAAATGATCGTTCTACGAACGCGAGGTTTCAGCGGTGTATGCAGCGATGGGCAAGTAGCATTCACTGAAGCGGCAGGAACAGGGGGGGGGCTGTGATCTCTCGGGACTTGTCAGTTTGGAATGATGAGGAACACTTTGGTCATCACGTGTTGCGAGGATGAAATGGGTAAATCAAATCGGTCCTCCTCGTTCATAATCGGCTCAGAAGTCATTTCTGCGCGTCCTCTGCTTAATTTGGAACGCGACTCACGACATCCATTACCGAAGTTTGTTGTTGCGTAAAGCTGCGCTTTGCGAAGATTCCTGCTCTCACCGATCATGGGGTCTAAATGGCGTGACTGAAACATGCCATTTTCTCTAGCCCAGCAACATTTTACGCCGAGGTTTGTTATTGCGCACAGCTGAGTCGACGATTCCTGCTCACACTTCATTAAATGACGTACGTACCTGAAACATGCCACTTGATTCTAGTACAGCACGCTCTCCTAGCTACGAAATGTCCTAGAAACTCGATTAGACTCTCTTTTCACTTTTGTCCTACAAACACGCGCTAGGAGTACTCCAGGAGCCAAAAAATAAACATTCCAAAAAAAAAATGCTCTAAATGAAGGAAATAAGAGACAGTACCATACGGCCCACACGATATACAAAATAAAATGCTGAACTACCGTTTTCCTCCACCTCATGTGACCGCCGTGGGTGCGTCAAATCTACATACCGTCATGTGAAGAGACTTGTGCGCCCACAACAAATGCGACAAAACCCCACAAACCAAAACACGTCAAGAACGAAAAATATTTACGACAAGGAAGGTTACCGACAAATGTAACAAAAAGACGGGAGAATCAGCCACAGCACAACAACGCGGCCGTGTCGAGACTGGAGGCCGAATGACAGCGAAGCCTATAAATTCGACCAACGTTATGTGTAAAAGAGTGAAAAACAAGAGCCATCCTCGTGCCCAGAAGGACCCACAGCACGAGGTTTGATGTGATAACATGAGAGAATGCAACAAGTCCGTCTGTCAAGTCAACTCACGCAATCTCCCGATATGTGTGGTGTCGAGACTTCTGACTCACTAGTAGAACGATACGACTGCAAATGGAATTAACACAACACGACCGACAGCGGTAGTTCACCTACATGCCGGGTGACAACATCAATGAAAAGAAAGACTGGTCCACGGATCGATTTCCGGCGAGTGAGTAAGAGCTATGCATCAAAAACATTCCGGCAACCAAGCCTCCATTCACTCCCTGTGACGACAACGGGAGCAGGGACTCCCCATCACGCTGAACCTTACACTCCTAGCAGCCAGCAACAGCGTCGTCGACCTTGAGGGAGTCCCCGAACAAAACAATCTGGTCGATCTGGTGGCCGTGCGAACGGCCTCCGATTTCCATCTCGTACTCGCCGGCCGCGGCAAACTCGATGGCGATCTGGGTGTGGTCGCCGTTCTCCTCCTCGGCGGTCCCCTGATACTTGAAAACGCCGTCCGCGGCGTTACCGTACACCTTCACGAAGGTGCCGTAGCTCTTGGAGGTGCCGGCCGGCCCGAACCTATCCGCGTCCGGGAAGTTCAGCCAGCTGTCGTTGGCCTTGTCGCTCTCGACGCCGTCAGGCTGGCGCATGGCCCACTTGAACGAGTAGGTGCCCGCGGTGGGGATCTGCACGCTGGTGGAGATGATGTCGCCGTCCGCCGGGTCGCTGTTGTTTTGGGCCTCAGACAGCCCCTCCCAGGTGATGTAAGCCCCGCCGCTGGCGGCATTGTCCTGGACGATGCGCCAGTCACCGTTGACCGGGAGGTCTTCGGCTTCGATGATGACCACCATGCAGTCGCTGCGCAAGGGAAAGGCGCGAATATGTAGGGAGGCATCGTTAGGGGGAGAGGGCGGAGACAAAGGGCGAACGAACTATATAGTTAAGAGCCTATCGCACCTGAGAAAACAGCTGGGGGAACTGGTCACCCAGACAGGTATGAACCGTGTCCCACGTATATGCCATGCATCTGTTACGCCACCAGACGTACCTGGGGCAACACTCTACAGAAAGATTTCGGAACAGAACGCACCTAAACACCTGGGAGTGTGCGATATGCGAGTTGTCGTTGGCAAGTATGTAACCCATTAGCAAGCCGGAGAATAGACGCTCGGAAAGCAGGCCCCACTTACTTGGTAGGTGTGGGCGCGACAACCGGTTCGGGTGTAGGTGCGACAGGTTCCGGTGTGGGCGCGACAGGTTCCGGTGTGGGCGCGACAGGTTCCGGTGTGGGAGCGACAGGTTCAGGTGTGGGTGCTACAGGTTCCGGTGTGGGTGCGACAGGTTCCGGTGTGGGAGCGACAGGTTCCGGTGTGGGTGCGACAGGTTCCGGTGTTGGAGCGACAGGTTCCGGTGTGGGTGCTACAGGTTCCGGTGTGGGTGCGACAGGTTCCGGTGTGGGAGCGACAGGTTCCGGTGTGGGAGCGATAGGTTCGGCGATTCCGTCAAACTTGAACAAGTTGAACGCATCGAACCCACCTGGGACAAAAGGGTAACGGCAAGGAAGGGGTGGAACGACTAGTGTCAAGAAGATAGTAAGACATGTCTACAAGGCTCTCACTTGTCACCAAGCACGGACTTCACGCGGGAACACCACATCCGGCCCAAAAGTACTGTTAGAGATCACTCGGCGAGCGCCACCTGTAAGTCTCTTCCTGCATATCCGGTCTCGACGTCGGCATGCATGTACCACACGGTGCCGCTGTAGTTGCCAGGTCTTCCTACACCCCATCTTCCGATCTCACTCACCGCACGCAACCGTAGGGTCACCGGAGCAGCCCGCGAGACATGATCCTCGCCCGTGCCTCTTGTAGTCCTCCTCGTCGTTGGACATTCCGCACCAGCACTCGTCGCCGTACTGTTGACGCAAAAGACAAACAAGCGCCGGAGGCGGACATCGAAAGCAACGGAGCAACACACTGGTTAGCCACAAGGTGAAGGTGAAGGACACAGAGAGGCGTGCCACGGGGCGCAGCGAATAAAACACCGGTGCATACAGAACGAGGCAAAGGGCACTATTCAGCACGAAGCGAATAGAATTAAGGCATTTACACAATCAACAAGGCAAAAAGGAACCCAAGCGCCAAGAGTACTAGCAGCACGAAAATCCGACGGTACACAAAACTCCACCTGGGTGGCGTAGAAGTAGGCGTCGCGTTCCTCGCAGTACGTGCGGCAGACGGCCTGGGTCATGTCGGGCTGCAACTTGATCTCGTCGCCCAACAACCGGTCTTCCCGGTCGTCGGCGAAGCACCCCACGTACTCATCGCCCGTGGGTTCCGTCGGTTCCGTGATCTTGTAGAGGTCTGGATACCACGGCGCAGGTTCAGGAAGGCGGGGTGAAGATCGTGTTCAGGCGACGCCCATCATGCGTATGCATACATGTGTCATATCAATGGACAAAAAAAACGACAGCTCGCCTCATCAACATCACGCTTTCCTAAGAAAGCACAGCCATCATCGCCGACATGAAACCGCGTCGTCTCAACGACCGTCTTCACGCATCTCCGTGAAGCCAAACCCCTTTTTCCGAGACATCCAGGTATATTATATCCGGATACTTGCAAGAATAGGCGGGCCCGCTATGTTCTTCCCAGGTGGCGATAATGCTCCCCCCATACAACGAGAGACGAAAAAAAAACACTCACCGAAAGCGTCGAAGCCACCGCAAATGTCGGCTGCATCCCCGCCGCACGCGTGATCGCACACGCCATCGGAGTGGCGGTCGTACTCGACTTCTGCGTCGACGCTGCACCAGCACTCGTATCCGTACTGGGTGGCCATGTAGGTTGCTCGCCTGTCCAAGCAGTACTCGAGGCACACCTGGGTAGGGAAAATGTAAACCAATTATCACTTACTGGTCGGGTCCAAAGCGAATACCAAGGGGCATAGGAAGCAGGACATCAAAATCTATAATAAAGAGGGAGCTCGGGTGGGAGAGAACAAACACTAACGAAAGAGTCACCAAAAAGCGCATTCAAAGATATGCGTAAACTTACCGCGGTGGTCATGGTTGACGAAGTCTTCATGTACTCGAACACTCGGTCTTCCTTGCTGTCCGCAAAGCAGCCAACGTACGAGTAACCCTCGTCGACGGGCATGGTTACGGGCATTTCGTACACAGGAGCAGCAACTGGTTGTTCGGGCTCCGCAGTGGGCTCAGGCTCAGGCGTCGGTTCGGGGGTTGACTCGGGCGTCGACTCGGGAGTTGGCCTAGCAGTAGGCTCCGGAGTCAGTTCGGGGGTTGGCTCGGGCGTCGATTCGGGAGTAGGCTCGGAAGTCGATTCGGGAGTAGGTTCAGGGGTCGATTCGGGAGTCGGTTCCGGTGTCGGCTCGGGAGTCGGTTCAGGTTCAGGGTCCGGCGTGGGTGCCGCGGGAGCCGTGGAGGACGTTTCGCCTGTAAAGGAACAAAAGTGGATCCACGTTTAGAGGCATGCGCACGTTTCTACCGGAATGATGGACCCCTCGAACCGCCTTGTTTACAAAGTTCGACCTACGCACAGAGCGTTACAAGCAGGGTAAGTCCTACTTTTGCATGCGTATTTCACCCAATTGCCTGGTTGTTGATGCAAGGAGTAAAAAGGGGAGGTTGTCCACATGACAACTGCGGGTAGAATACGGGTTGACTAGGGATCATCAATCTCACCGTCGGCCAGCAGAGTGATGTCGGAGCAGCCGAAGAACACGTTGCCCCACTTCTGGCCTTCGTCGCTGCAACCGGGGTTCTTGTGCGGCAGCCAATCCTCTTTGTCCGGCGCGCAATCTCCCGGCCACTCGGGCTCGAACTCGTGGTAGCCGGGGTGGTGGCACCCGACGTACGCGTCTGGCAAAAGTAGAAGGATGTCTCTGGGGTGAGCTCTAGTCCTTACGGTCAACAAGGGGCTGCACAGTGACTCCAAGTACAAACTGTTTGCTGGGGAAAAGGTTCATACGGATCAAGAAACACGTGGAAATTTACGCCGCTGGTTCCAGAAACTACACAAAAATGGTGGTATCGTTGAGGTCCAGGACGCGTACGTACTCACAGTATTTCATCTGGAGGACGCAGTGCTCGCACTGGATGTTCGGCAGATGGTAACGTCCAACGTTGATGTAGCCCTGCAAAAGTCAAGAGGTAGGGCACCGGGGGGTGAGTTCGAGAATGTTGGCCGGGGCCCCGGTAGGTGTTTTTCCCTGGGGACGCAACGGGTTGGCACACGCGGCACGATGAGTAGGGCTATCCTCCAGGCCCCCCTCCCCTCGAACAATGAAACGGCGTTCTTGAGTTATAGTACACTCGCAGCAATGGTGCTGCTTGGCGTGCTCTGGATATGCGAGCCACATACAAGCAGGACATCTACCAAGATGGACAGGTTTCTCACATTGTCCAGGCCAACCTCCCCGTCGTTGAGCATGGGCCGTCCTGTTTGGTCGGTCTCTCCATTTTCACCGCGGCACTCGGGGTTCACGAAGAAACGCCCGGGGTAGTCCGGGTCGATGGGGCTGTTCCACCAATCGGTCTCGTCGCGGTCGAGCGGGTACATGTTCAAGCAGTCCTGGGTCACCACGCCGTCAGGGTCGTCTAATTTCGGACGGGGACCAAGGTTGGGGCGGGGGGAAGGACTCAGATAGGAGTGGCTTTGCATGTCTGGCGTAAATTTACCGTGTTCAACAGGGACCGAAGTAAGATCTCACGAGCGCACCTACGATGACTGACATCGTGTGTCGGCTAACCGTGTCTTGTCGGTATGGCGGACAACAATAATGATACGGCAATGATGCGCAGCGTAGGTCAAGGAGACCAGCTTCCAAAAAAATGACCAACCAGCAACGGACTGATGCACGAGACTCACCCATGTCAGCGGTATCGCACAGGAAGTACTCGATGTGCCCCTGTTGGTTCCGGGACGGGAGGGGCGGGCGGGCGGGGATCACAAGATGTGATTTAAAAAACGTGAAGCTCGTTCAATCTCACTGAGATGACTGCTGTTGCACTAAGCTGGGGATCATCTTTTGATTTATTTAAACGTGTTTCGCCGTACGGGCCGTGATGACAGTGATTAGTGTAGAACTCCTGAATTAGTAGCCTCGGACACTTTTCGCACCGCCCGGATACAAGAATGAGTTTCGCAAAATACTGCTTGTGTGATGTGTCAACACTCCACGATTTTCAGAAATGATGTTCTTGCCTCACCTGTGAAGCAAACAACACCTACGCCTGACTAGGGGCTTGACTCATCACATCACGGCATTTCTTGTTTCCAGCGGCGTGTGCCTGGGGGCCGAGGCGCACAGCTGGCTTGCTTGGAGGCGTGTAGAAGGACCGACTCACCCAGTGGTTGTTGTTGATGACGGCCTTGAGCTCGATGATGGATCCCGACGTGTACGTCGAGATGGGAGGCCAGAGGGTGTTCGGGGTGCTGTACGTGTTCGGGTTGTCCAAGCCGCCCTGTGTTTTTTTTTATCCGCAGGCAATGGGTGTTGTCGGGGAATATTTCGGTAAAGTTCGTGAATACGGCATATGCCACATCGGGGTTTGCCCGGTGTGTGGCCGATTTGAGAACTAAGCAAGAAGGTGCACATGTCAAGTTCATTGTACAACCAAAACACAAAACGAACGCCCCTCGAGGAAAGGTGTTGAGTGAGCGACATATCGAAGGCGCTTCTTACTCTGGTGGAAAGTCTACAGAATAGTATGTCATTTTCTTATTCCACATGCTCAAATCGCTATCACAATGCTGCGCCAAGGCATTTTGCGACACACTGTCGTGGGTAGGTCATCAATCTTGGTGCATTCACCGTGTCTCTCGCTAGGAAGCGATCGCGTCACTGACCTGAGGAGGATCCCCGCACACGCCGTGTCCGACGGCAATCTTGTCGCTCTCGAGGTAGTTGTTGTTCGGGCACCTCTCCCCCTTGTCCCAAGCCGCCCCCACGATCCAGACGTCGCCGCCACCGTAGTCGGCAAGGATGTCAGGATCGATGTTGTCGATTGTTCGGGCCTGGACCGCGTCAGCACCTACGATTCAGCGCAAGGATTCAGCAACGACGCTGCGAGTGTGAACGTGTGGACCTTCCATGCCGGGGGGGGGGGTGGTGGACGCTAAAGCGGCGACCCATGGTCGGCGGTGTACGAACTTTGTGAGTCGTCTTTGTGGGAGATGAGTAATGGTGGTGCATGCCGTATACCGGCTACGCTCTTATGTAATGTGTGTATCCCGGCAGGCGTCCGCCTAACGAACTGACGAATGCAGGGCTATTGGAAACCTACCTGGCTATAAACTAGTGTGCCAACATCCATCTCGTCGGCATCATATCTTCCCAAACTACTACTGTATTTAGTGCATACATTTCGAAGTGGGCAATACTTCCAAGTCGCATGGTACGCCACATTACCTCCTCCGTTGAAGGATCCCGCCCACTTCTCCACGTAGTACTCGTCGCTGCGTGTGTCGTGGGCGGGGCGCGGGAGGAGGGAGGAGTAAAGGCAAAGGAGAGAATCGTGAGTACATCTTGTGTACATTTGTTGGTTTTGTTTTACTGGAACGAATATCACATCACCCATGTCAAAACGAAAAGAACGGCTCTTCGGGCGTGTGCCCGAACAAACGAACGTTTCAATTGCAGCATGTCGCGCCGAAATGCTGAAATAATTACCAGGTGCTCGATTCAAAGCAAACCGTCATGTCCATGAACAAAGGTATGCTCCGGCACTTCAAATTCTTCGAACATCATGCAACGATTATCGGGGCGGAGCTGGCAGGAGCATCAACTCTGCAGCAAGCAGATGCTCTACTCAAAACCTTTCGCAGGTGTGGCAATTCGATCTTTGTTCTGATTCCGACGACACTAATCTACATACCGCTCCGTTCAACAGAACGGGCGGGGGGTGCGCAAAAAGCGTATGCTCTTGGAACATGCTGCTGGTGCTGCTGCTGTACCACCCGAAGCGCCATATTGGTACACAGTGGTCGAGCACATACTCAAGACACCAGCGTGCGAGATCCGCACGGCTGCCATTGTCGACACGACCCATAAAAAATTGCGACACCGGGTTGCAAAGATCCTATCGCCAAGAAAGCTGTGTGCCATGATCGTTGTGTTTCGCAACGTCCCCGACCAAACAAACACACACAGCAAAGCAAGTAGAGGCTAGACGAGGCCCATGACGCGTACGTGTAACTGCTGCAGTCGCTCCTCTACTACTGTAGAACAACAGCAACAGCTGCAGCGCATGGGTCATCATGCTTGCGTGCCTCTCACCCCTCATTAAATTCCTTTGATCGCAGGTATTGCCGGCTAATTGGCTCGATGCAGAAGCCGTGTCCTTCGACGGCAGCTGGTGCCAGCATGCCAAACACTGCCACCACCCCCATCATCCCCGATGTAAACGGAGCTGGAGTCATCGTGCCAAGTGGTCTCGAAGACTGCCTTTTACAAGCGGTCTGGCGGTCTGCGGGATGGAATGGTGTGAGAGAGATGAGATGGGGGTGTGAGATGATGCGGGGATGAGATGTGCGGACCAATCGCTGACGAACCACAAACGAACAGAAAAAATAACGGTCCTCGGTCCTCTGGTCCTCTCACACCCGGCAACGGTCGTGCGCGTCTCACGTTCCTCAACGGCGGATTTCGGAACTTTTCAGCTGCCGGACTGCTTGTCGAGAAAGCTCTACTGGTCGACCGATTACTGCACCAGGCAGCAGGCCAGGGTATCTCACACATAAATGCAGGAGTTACGCCGGGGTGCATATTCTTGTAGAACGTGCTACCGTTGGTTTGACGGTGAAGCAGAAGTATATATATATGTGAGCAACGGCGCATATACCTAGTTCCAGCAAACTGGAAAATGGATCGATGGCAACAACAGATTACACCCGTTCGTTTGTCGTGGCTTGGTGTTGTTGTCTGCCCAGCAGTATATACCTTCATCTGTCCGCGCCATTCTACATAACGCTTGACGCGGGTCGATTCCCGTGGTCACAGGTTAACTTGTAAGCCTACCGTATGTGACACAAGATACCACACACACCCCGTGGATCGATTTTCAAAGCTCGACCACAGCAAGCAGCAGTCCACGAACAGCAAGTGGAACACTCAATTGATGCATTTTCGGAAGATCTCGACGAGGCGGTTCCAACGCCACCACTTTCCACTTTCGGCACATGGGTCCAGGGCGTGTGGTATCTTGTGTCACCAACGGTATGTACAGCTACACCTCCCGTTTACGACACAAGATAACCCACCCCCTGAACCGATTTTCAAAGCTTGATTTATCAACAGCAGAAAGAGTCGCGGCGCCGAAAATGTCGGCGTTCAAGCCGTCGTGCATAATTCTCCGAAAACGTATCATTTCGTGTTTGCATCCTCTTGGTCGATAAGTAAAGCTCGACGAGCTTTAAAAATCGGTCCAGGGGGTGACAGTGTGTTATCTCGTGTCGTATGCGGTAGACCCTCCGCTCGCCTCTTCTCTACCATACACGCTTTGCGAGGCAAACATATAGACTGGAAGTCAACATCACGGGCTAAGAGCAAGCCAGAGGGGTAGGCATATTACTCCCCTGGTAATCTTGCTTGGTACTTCAGAAAAGAGAGGCGTTCATCTTGGAAAGGACAAAGGAGAGAAAAGAAAAAAAATAAATGAGAAAGAACAGCAGTATACTGCTGTAGTTACGCGGTAAACCACTGCCTACCGGTGGTTCAAAGCAAATTCCCCCGACGACCAGCAACGACACCAAACGCAACCAACGCCATCTGTACTTCTGTGTGCAGCAGTTTTGTCAGGTGCGGTAGTAATGCCATGCTGCTGCTGCTGCTGCTGCTGCTGTGTATGTATGTAGTAAGTAAGCAGGCATGGCATGCCTTCTGTGCTTCTGTGTGTGTGTGTTGATTTGCCATGAAAAGGTCACATTTGTGATTTGCCATGAAAAAAGCAACAGAGTTCGGAACACGAGCCATTCTACAGCAAGTAGGTCCGTTCGTCCCCACATACATACTATACGAAGAACTTGGAAGGCGAGCATGAAGGCGTGAATCATAGAAGAAGTATTATAATTGAATGCTAATCACGTTCGCTTCAAAATAAACTTGAAGTTTTCTTGAGGCCATCAATACTCTCAAGTGTTCTTTGAAGACGGAGGGAAAATTGGATTCGGTCAGTGGATTGACGTGGTAGAATAGCGTGGAGTGCGCAAACAAAACGCTGCTCACCAACAAGTGACGATATGAATTAAATACGCCAGCATATTGTGTACGGCCAGGAGGTTATTCTGAATAATACTAAACAACTTACTGCCTAACGGGTAGATCCCACCACCCCGTATCCAAAATTCAAAAGTACATTGGGTTCTACATCCCGCACGTACGTACGTAATCCGTACAAACTTGACTCGCCACCTACTACGTCGTCAGTAGTTGCTTTCTCTTGGCGGTCGGTCGCGTTCACTTGATTGAGAAAAACAAAGACAAACTGCCCGTGTATGTACCGGTACTTGCCCATTCCCAAGGCAAGGGAAATAATACGTGAAAAAAATTCACCCCGCCCAACTCCCAGCGAAATTGCCCAGCCACACTCGCGAGAAAAACGATTTCTTTGATTCGTTGCACCGCAAGCAAGTCTAGCAGTCTAATAATCCAGAACAAGATCCTACCAGGAAAGGAAGCCCACCAGTAGTGCAAGACAATCAAACCTACATGCGTGCACCCCAAAAAATACCCTGCTCAGGTCAAACCCAAGTTTAGCGCCCAAAAATACATGTGTGTGTGAAGAAAGTACGCCCCTGTCCCAAACTGCATATCCACGTTATCCACGTACGTACGCCGGATTTGCCTGTGGGAACTCCTGCTTCTTGGCCATTTTCTTTCCTCTTCATCGCCAGTAAGTAGAAGCAAACAAAACCGTAATCCCTCACTTCGTGATGCAGAGTTTGCGAACAGCTAACAAGGGCGGCCCACATGGCTCTTCATCTACCTGGACGTATCTACTACTGTAGGCCGCCCTTGGGAGCACTCAACACAAAAATGCCGCACGGTAGTTGAGACACTAGAGCGACGGCAAAGAAACGAGAGGAAAAAAGAAAAAAATCATGAACGGGGTAATCTGCGGCGGAACATGACGGGGATTGATGCTACTCAGACTTTTCCGGCTTATTTTCCACAAATCTCAACATGAGGATGCCTATGGAGGAGAGGCCTGTACACCAATTGCGATTCTTGACTGTGCACAAAGTGCGAGTAAATTATGTGTGCCAAAACAATTCAATACAAAGCGGACGAGAGCGCGTCCAGCTCGAGCCAGATCATGGCACACCCTCGCCGACCAACAAACTACATGATGAACCCTTTTCTCTAAAATACGCTCAGACCCCGCATATTTACCACGCTAGGTCAGCCTACTTCGAGCTGCGGGCCTATCGCAAAAGAAAACCATGCGAACAACGGCCCACACAACAAGCTCCAGCCGCCACACCACACGGTCTTTCGAAAATAGCTAACTTCTATGCCTGCCCGTCGCATCGTTCACACACCGCGAAAAAAACAGTCGACCCGCATGGAAGCGAAAATCATTTACACCCGAAACGAGCCCCCAGTTATGTGTGTTTATCATGCGAAAAGTCATAGCACGCACCCGAACCAAACCCGCGTGATCCCACAATGCACGAAAACATGCCGCAACACACATCAACACAGACAGGGCGCTCAACGCCGCTATAAACACACTGAACACCGGTTACACTGAACACCGGTTATCCTTTCGTCCCCACATACATGGATCTCCGTGTCTCTCTTTTCGCGCTGATTTTACAGAGTGGTGGCCAGTCAACATTCTCCGCATGCACCCTCACGCCCGGGTACATATCACGCCTTCATCGAGCACCGCCTCAGCCCTTGTACTTGAACAGGTTGAATGAGTCGAACCCGCCTGGAAAAATTACGGTCAAATAGCAGCAGGCGCGGGATTCGGAATTCGCGGCAGCAGGAAAAGAGCCGAAACGAAAATATCGCCCAGAAAACGGAAAGATCAGCATGCCACCACATCGTTGGCGGCCGAGGTTCCCTGACGCGCTCCAACCAATTTATGTGCGGCTCCGAATACGTATTTCGTGTTGTGTCGTCTAATCTACCCATGGCCGCACTCGACCTTCTATTTCGCTCACCGCACGCCGTCGTTGGGGCACCGGAGCATTGCGCGACACATGATCCGTACCCGTGCCTCTTGTAGTCCTCCTCGTCATCGGACGTTCCGCACCAGCACTCGTCGCCGTACTGTTGAGCCAAGAGACAAACAAGCCCCGGAGGAGAGGATGCAACGTCAAAGAAAGAACGTTCACATCGAGAGAAATGGATCCACTGCGCGTCATGGAAAGAGGGGATGCAAAACTGACTCTTCTTATGTGTTCCGAAGTGTGGTCGAAGGGCCAATCCCAGAGCGGCTGGCTGTCATTAGATAATCCGCCAACCAGAGCTTCGAATCGGATTCAGGGTATTTGATCGCTGCCTTCATAAGGCGATTAGACGCAACGACATGCAACGAGACCACGAGGCAGAGCTACAAGGGGAGAGGCTACAAGGGAGTGCAGGAAAAAAAGTAGAAGCTCATGCCCTCCGCCCGCCTCACCTCTTACCACATGTGCACGACTGGGGCAAAGCGACGAGGAGCGAAAGATCCCTGGACAAATCGTCTAACACCTCTTGCGAAATAAAAGTCGCCACCTTAGGAGAGCACAGCACAGCATCACGACTTTTGCTGTCTACCTGCCACTATTCGCACGTCTCCCAACCCCTAAGAGCACCCACGGCGGTGGACCCTACGACAGAGCAAACCTCTGTTTATGCCCGGGACACCGAATACGAACCCCCACCATTTACCTGGGTCGCGTAGAAGTGCGCGCCAAAGCCCTCGCAGTAGGTGCGGCACACGGCCTGGGTCATGTCGGGCTGGTACTTGATCTCGTTCTTCAATAGGCGATCATCCCGGTCGTCGGCGAAGCACCCCACGTACTCTTCTCCCTCGGGTTCCGTCGGTTCGGTGATCTTGTACAGGTCTGGATACCACGGCGAAAGTTCGGGGGTGTAAATGTTATAGTAAGGCTACGCCTACGCGACATACTACATGCTCATGGGCGGTCAGGTTCCGCACCAACCAAAGCTTTTTTTTTTTGAAAATCATGGCGAGTTCCACCAAACACCAAACCACCGTTATTAAGCAAGCTGCACACCTGTTAGTGAAACTCAACGATTTTTTCGAGGAACACGGAGTTCAAGTTCACCGGATCACACGAATGCTCTTCTCAAAGGGCGAAACAGTAGTAACCCCTGAAACAAGGCACTACGCACCCCTCGAAAATCCCACGAAACAACACACCAATACGAGAAATCCTCACCGAAAGCATCGTAGCCACCGCAACTCTCGGCCTGGGCAAGCACGTGGAGTGGGCAAGGGGTGGGGGTGGGGTGAGAAATATCTTCAGGCCGGGCATGTCGAGATCACTGTAGGGCCAAAGGTTTGGCAAATGTGAGAGTGGGTGCTAGGACATCTGGGGAAATCGCACCACAGGCAAGCCTTCTCCTAAAGTCAAACAACGTCCACGGAACGGTGGTGAAGGACAACAGCAATGAGAAACTGGCTGCGATCGGGGCTTGGCTGCTAACCCCGTAGCCGCGGTTGGTACGTATTGATAGGCAACGCAGATACTACCGCTCTAAGCTATCGGCATTTCGGAGGCCTCGAAGAAAGGAGCGCCCTCCGATCGACAAACGCTGTCGAAGGATTTGTTCACGCCAACACTGAACACGCGGTCACAATGCAGGTCTCTCATCTCGTTCGCCCATGGCGTGGTTTTCCAGCCCTTCTCTCTGTCGGCAGGAATTGTTCCGTGTCAAATACTGACCTTGTCCCCTTCGCAACGCGTACCGCACAAGCCGTAGTCGCGGCCGTCCACCCTTTCTAAGTCGTCGGAGTGGCGGGCGTAGTCTAGGTCTGCATCATGGCTGCACCAGCATTCGAAGCCGTACTGGGTAGCCATGTATGTGGCGCGCCTGTCCACGCAGTGCTCGTAGCACATCTGAGTACGGGAAAGCAAAGGGAACGCACATCAAGAGGCACATGTAAGACGGTCGACGGCGGAGCATCCAATGCATGTGCTGCTTTTCTTCATTTCTTCATCAAAATACGGAGAACGTATATGATTAACACACCGTGCTAGTACTGCGTAGCGAGGCATTATTGAAGGATTGGTGTCCATGGTATCTTAGCCTAGCGGAGTCACTGATCGCTCCTTTCACGCGACAATGGCCTACTCAAAATCAAACGCAGGCTGCAGTGAATGAGAGCGGTGCTTGAACGCAATAACCAACACTTACAGCACCGGTCATGGCTGACGACGTGATCATAGCTTCGAGCACTCGGTCCTCCTTGTTGTCGGAGAAGCACCCGACATGCGTGTATGCCTCCAAGGGCACATCCACAACAGGCTGCTCTTCAACAGGGGCAGTGACTGGCATAGCTACGGGCATTTCGTAGACGGGAGCAGCAACTGGTTGTTCGGGCTCCGCAGTGGGCTCCGCAGTGGGCTCCGCAGTGGGCTCAGGCTCAGGCGTCGGTTCGGGAGTTGGTTCGGGAGTCGGTTCCGGCGTCGGTTCGGGGGTCGGCTCGGGAGTCGGCTCAGGCGTCGGCTCAGGCGTCGGCTCCGGGGTCGGTTCGGGAGCCGTGGAGGACGTTTCGCCTGTAGGGACAACAATCGGAGAGACATTTTCATGACAATCGGTATATTCATGACGCATTTTTTCTTCACCGGAAGCAATGGGGGGGGAGCACGCGAACGTCTCATTCAATATTGTTGAGTTGCCTAGAGATCAATCTCACCGTCGGCCACCAGAGTGATGTCGGAGCAGCCGAAGAACACGTTGCCCCACTTCTGGCCTTCGTCGCTGCAACCGGGGTTCTTGTGCGGCAGCCACTCCTCCTTCTCCGGCGCGCAATCTCCCGGCCACTCGGGCTCGAACTCGTGGTAGCCGGGGTGGTGGCACCCGACGTAGGCGTCTGGGGGCGTGTGAGGGGTAAATAGCGCTGAGAACACGTTGCGGATACGCGTCAACCCCAGCAGAACAGGCACGTTGTGTGCTGTCATCCAAATATGGTTGCTCTCGACTTGTTGCGCTGCAGAACCCGTCTTGCACCTGCTGTGCGTGGGCAACACTGAAATGTGTCAAGCAAATCGCAAGAGCTACATGAAAAGAGATCAAAGGGCGTTTCTGGAGAAAAGACATACTTGTTCCGGGAACAGTTTTTGAGTACTCGACTTCAAGGGCAAAAGGTAGAAAAAGTACGAGAGAGATAAGGTTGCCGATGCGCACGTTCCATTTACTGTCAAAATCAAGACACTATTTCATTTGTCGTTGAGTGCCTACATACTCACAGTACTTCATCTGGAGGATGCAGTGCTCGCACTGAATGTTGGGCAGATGGTAACGCCCAGTGTTGATGTAGCCCTGCAAGATTCGTTGAGATTTGGAAATGGAGGGAGGGCCGGGAGGGGTAAGTATAAAACATGGTTGCTGGATCTACTAGGGGAAAAGAACCACAGCGAAGTGCATAACGGCATGACACTAACCACAGCCAGCGGCTTTTGCGAGACCGTCCAATAACTTCGTTGATCCAGCAACAAGACTTAACCACCACCAACCATGTACGACTGCGCCCCGCTGAACCGGGCGTGGTGCCACTTCCCCCCTCCCTCCTCCCCTTTCACCTCAGCATCTTTCTCTCTCTCTCTCTCTCTCTCTCTCTCTGACAACGCCTCTGACTCCTTGCGGCTACGCTCGCGATGACAGTGTGGCATAGCACGGTATAACTTGTTCCCTTCGCAAACCTCCAAGAGCTGGCAACATATGCCTGGTAGACATACATGATACTCACGTTGTCCAGGCCAACCTCCCCGTCGTTGAGCATGGGCCTTCCTGATTGATCGGTCTCTCCCGTTTCACCGCGGCACTCGGGGTTCACGAAGAAACGCCCGGGGTAGTCCGGGTCGATGGGGCTGTTCCACCAATCGGTCTCGTCGCGGTCGAGCGGGTACATGTTCAAGCAGTCCTGGGTCACCACGCCGTCAGGGTCGTCTTAATTTCGGGTGGGGAAGAAGGTTGGGGCGAGGGGGGAAAGGGAATACCGCCAGCCGTTATTGGTGGGTGAGAAACAGCCAGAACGTGGGGGTGTACGGTCTCCAAACGCTTTGCGCTCTGTACCCTTGAGAGTCATGAACTACGTAGCACTAGCGACACTGGTCGGACCCCGACTGATTCCACATTTGTCACCCGCTGACGAGATATGGTTCCGCTAAAGTACTGATACGTATCCCCGTCTCCTTCTTCCCAAGTGAACCGACAGTGCAGAACGGAACAAAATGGGGAGTTCTTATGGGTATCGGGCCCTCAAATCGCCGAACTGTTGGCACGCCCTGGGATTCGAAGAGACTCAGGGAGGGATGTCCTCGCGGGAAATCATGCCAATTTAGGGAACGTTCCGCACTGCGGTCTTCCATGGTCAATGGAAATAAAAAACGGTGTTTGAAACTTGACGCAATTTTGGTATCCCGGTACAAATTCAAAATCCTGCGACTCACCCATGTCAGCGGTATCGCACAAGAAGTACTCGATGTGCCCCTGTGGTTTCGATGGAAGGTCGACGAGGTGACGCAGGCGTTGAGCGTCGAAAATTAGGTTCTGAACCGATTAACCAAAACCACGCGGACCCACCAGTGCCGTTCACCACCATCCCCCATCGTCGTGAGTGAGTGTTTCACGCGAAACTAACCCAAAACCAAAATAAACCGCTGACGTGAGCGAGATGATTACATGCCAGTATCTCATTGTCGGACAGCATTCATGTAGTCCGACAGGATAACCCAGATCATGAACGTGAAAACCATGAAGAGGAATGTGTAGGTGAAAAAATGGGGAGGGACTTTCCGCCCTCTGGATGGTCTGTGGCTGCGAGATTGTGGCGCAAGCGTGGATGCAGCTGAGACACCTGAAAGGTGCGTAGCGATGATCTGCTACGAGGAGACTTACCATGTGGAATCTCTTCGAAATAGTGCATCTGCAAGGAGATAGACGTAGGACATAAATAAACCAAATAATGCAGCGCTATTGGATGGGCAATGTTGAATATTGATGCCGCTGTGGTCGATCGGCGCGAGTATCGATGGAAATTTAGCACAGCCGCTGAGAGTTGCTATGAATATGTGGAACAAAGCACCGTTTGCAACATTGTAAACTACATTCGGAGATACCGACCTTCGTTCTTTCGAGCGACGGAGCGATGCACACCTGTTGCACGTGAAAAAACGTGCTCGGCTCTGTGCACGAAGGACTCACCCAGTGGTTGTTGTTGATGACCGCCTTGAGCTCGATGATGGATCCCGATTGGTATGTCGAGATCGGAGGCCAGAGGGTGTTCGGGGTGCTGTACGTGTTCGGGTTGTCCAAGCCACCCTGTTTTTTTGTCCCGCAGGCAATGGGTTTCGGTGGGGGTAATTCTGGGTAACGTTCGTGAACGCGGAATGCCACATTGGGTGTTTAGTGGCCGATTTGAGATCTGAGAACGAAGATGCTTCTCTCCTTTCGAGGGAATGTGTTGTGTGAGCGACATGCCGAAGGCGGTTCCTGCTGGTAGATAGTCGGCAATCAACCCATCTTTGCACGACACTCGACGTATCCTCAGCCGTTTCATTCGGCTTGCGATCGGGGTAACGGTGTAATGAAATCACAATAGGGAGGGACATGCCAACGTCGGTGCCGACGACGTCAGGCAAGTCGAAAAATCGTTCGCACACAGTTGCGCGTTGGAGATCGGCGAAACTGTCGTAAACACCTCTCATTACCAACCGATCGCATCACCGACCTGAGGAGGGTCCCCGCACACGCCGTGTCCGACAGCAATCTTGTCGCTCTCGAGGTAGTTGTTGTTCGGGCACCTCTCCCCCTTGTCCCAAGCCGCCCCCACGATCCAGACGTCGCCGCCACCGTAGTCGGCAAGGATGTCAGGATCGATGTTGTCGATTGTTCGGGCCTGGACCGCGTCCGCACCTACGGAACAGCGAAAGGATTCGGCGACGACACCGCAAAGCCCGAGTGAGTGTGAACCATGCAAAACATGACTTGAGTGTAAAAATAAATGTGAGTGCTGAGTGTTTTTGGTTCGGTTGATATTTTCAATTTTCAGGTTTTGAGACGCAATAGAGTCCACGTCGAAGTCGAACAGGGAAACTCTGTCTTGAGGCCACTTGTGTACCAATCGTCTAAGATCAACAAACCGAGTACTTCAAGCGGTCAACGTAAAACAAAACGCCATTCCACGCCGTACCTCCCCCGTTGAAGGAGCCCGCCCATTTTTCCACGTAGTATTCGCCGCTGCACGTACACGCGAACGCACACAAAGCGAAACAAGACGCGAGGAAGGTGGGTGAGACACGACGGGGGAGAGGGGGGAATGCGCAACGTTTCATGCGAACACACTAACAACAAGGTTACATCGCGAACGGGTGGTCGTTCTGTGAGGTTTATGTTTAATTAAGGAATAATAAAAACACACACAGAACGACTACCCATTCTTTACTATAATAAAAAAATGTCTTTCCCGGACACTGCAATTCAATTGAGCTCTTCTGATTAAGGAATATGGTAATAAATACACACACAGAAAGACTACACTCTTCGGATATAATATCTCTTTGGCTTTTTTGTTCGTTGGAGAGTTGCACGTTTTCATCCGTTTGGCAAATTTATTATCGCTCGTGCACCCCGACCGCGCCCACCGTTGACACATACATGTACATGGTAGATATGGTGCCCGCTGGATATAAACCTCTCCACTGAGCTGTGTGTGACATCTCTCACGGCAAACGCCAAACACATTGCGTCCTTCCCGGACCCACGAAATCACCACGAAATCCCAAACCCAAATGATACGCTTCGGAATGCGGAGGGACTCCGGCTTCGGTCATTAATCTTGATTTTGTACCCAGCAGGGCGGTCTGTTCATCGATCAAGCTTTCACTTTAAGCTGCTCACGAGACTAGCGGGGGGTGTTGATATATTGATATCGCAAGGGTCGGGCGCCCCGGTGGGGCATACACGGTGGGGCATACACGGCTCTGGGGCTCGTCTAAGACGTGGCACTATTTCTGTAGACTTGCATACAGACCCTGTTTGCATACATGCATGATCCCCATGATGAGTTATTTTTTTTCTACGAAGCAGGTAGGATATAGCCGAATGTATGACGACAGACATATCCGAATGCTCGAGATACGAGTTCGAAGTTCAAGGTAAACATAGAAACCAATGCCTCATACATCATCAATGGCGCGTGAGGTGTTTCACTCCCGGACTACGCCGCTGTGTAGGGGAGGACCTACGAAGGCCTCGATAGCTCTCACCCCTCATTGAACTCCTTCGAGCGAAGATATTGCCGACTGATCGGCTCTATGCAGAAGCCGTGTCCTTCCACAGATGTAGGGACGTACGTCATGGCTACTATCATCGCGATCACCGCCGCTGTAGCCGCCCTTCTCCCCTCGACATGCTGAGCCAGAGCCATGATACCCGTGGAAAGCGCGATCTCACGCTGCGCTTACGGACTCGTGGTCGCCTGCAGTACAGCAGTAGGAGGTGTGAGAGGGCTAGGTACCGCTTGTGAAGCTCGGGAGAAGTTTTCTCCTGGCGTGCGGTGGAGATTATTTGCCACCTCACACCTCACACAGCCCCAACGTACCGCAAAAACATACAACAGCTTTCCCCGAAACGGCGATTCTTTCTCCAGCACCGTGAAAAAAAAAAAATGGTACTGCGTTATCGGCATACACACGCACAATCTACGCCAGGGGTTAAATTCGATCGAGCACCACGCGGAATTTGGCCAAGCCGCAAAAATACTCGATGTTCAAATCTTCACCAAGGCAGAAATCCTCGGCTAACCCATCCGGCGGCTGGAACAATGATGAAGACAACGGCACAGCCAAAGAGACCGACATCAGATAGTCCGAATTTCGAATTTTCCCGTGGTTGATGGTTGATTGCCCGTGGTTCTTCAACGGAACGCTCGCGGGAGCCGACAAACTACGGACCGCACGTGACATCAAAAACCACATCCCTAGGACCATTTGTCAAGGATCGATTACTCCATAACGGAAAGAGTGGTGCTGGCGAAAATGCGAGGTTGGAACCATCTCACTGACATCTTTCCGAAGACGCACTAATGAAGTTTTAGTTTTGCATATCCTCATTCTTCGTGGAGTAATCGAGTTTTGAAAATCGCCTCAGGGGGTGTGGTATCTTGTGTCACGTGCGGTACAACTACGGCAATTCGGACCCCGCGACCGGCACATCGCGTGCGTGTTATACAACAAGACAAACGATGTGCCTCACACATTGGTGATGAAGATAATTCTACTGCTGCTGCTACTGCTGCTGCTGCTGCTGTGTAGTCTACATCTTTGCGGCTGTGGCCAAGGGCGGTTGTGCCGATGTGTTTGGTCCAAAAACAGGAAGCAACCACTGAACAACCTTATATAGGCTCGCTCATGTGTTTGCTACGAGACTTGGCCGTGTTGAGCTCAGCAAGAAGATATCAGACAAGTGCAAGCTATTCTGAGGTTCACAAGCGTTGAAGCAACCGTGATACCCTGGTGCAGATGACCCACTTGTTGCTTCATCTCTTTGACTGCGGTGCAGTGCATGTGCTGTTGCCTTTTTTGGCTCTCCTTTCTTTTTCGGACTCAGCACAAGGGGGGCTGCGTCAACTCCAAGCGCACTCATGGTCTGACCGTGCCTGCTATATCCATCCTTCAATCGAGAGGTACTGCTGTACAGTGTACTCTATCTCCAATAATCTTCCTAGAAGGGGAGTACTGCTGTCCGTTGATGCTTTGCATTCCAATTTCAAATCCCGTAGCACTAGGCCACGCTCTGAGGAGGTTCTCAAAGCCAGATACCGAACTCCTGGACATGAAACAAACTCAGTTGTCGGATTTTTGTCGGATCCGAAAACAGGCAGGATCGAAGATGGGCGGGGAGCTCCGAAATACATCAACAATAAAAAAACATATATATATTCACATTCCCATTCCTGTCACTCGATGTATCTGGTTCAAGTTGTCTGGTTGACAAAAAAATGAACGAAACAGACGGAGTTGTCTACATACCGGGGCTACAAAGAGACCGGAGGATCCTAGTGTACTACTGCTGTAGATACCGTGCTGGCGGAACCCAAGAGAATGGGAAAATAATACCATGATACACAGAAAATGACGTTGTCATCAGAGACCCTCCGCAGACGGTGGTTTGGTGGTGGAGTAGCGAGCATTGGAGAGGATCTTGGAGAGGGCGATCTTGATCCGCCCGGGGTCGTCCAGGAAGCGGACGATGTAGTGGTCGGCCGGAAGGGCCGGTCCAGACATCACACCCACACAGCCAAAGAACAAAATATATCTTGGGCTTTGGGCTTTGGGCTTTGGACCGGAAGACGGTCCCAAGTTGAACGAAAGAGAGGCGAGGGAGTAGCCCGAAGGCAAGGGCCGCTTAACTTTCAGCGCGCACGCGCCGATTCTCGTGCAGCCGCAGGAGTATACTGAAGATCCATCTCGTGTTCCCAAGAAGGGGAACGAATACAAGGCCACATTAATGTGTCTGATGTAGAATAGCGATGGTGCCCCCACGACCATGAACAGACTGATGTCCACTACGAAAGCGTTCAACGTCCCAGCATTCGACCGGAGAATTTTGTTTTGACTACCCTACAGCGTCTCCCAAAACATGGTGTAGGGTGGAGATTTGGTCGCCTACTGTAGGTAGTCAAAACAAACTGCGTGGCACCAGCAGGTAGGACCACGGCATGTCATCGGTGTTCCTGACTGATTGGCTTACAACGCACGCCGACACCCGATGTGTCGAGTCTTAACCCGGCAGGTCCCAAGGAAGATCCATAAGTAGAGCAGCTTGGACGCCGATGAACTGCCATCACCAGGGGCTTTCGAACAAGGGCCAACAGCTACAACTTCAAAACGGGCCAGTCCATAGCAAAAACAACTTCTTCGCGTTGAGTACCTTTACATTTGTATCTGTAACGAACACCTTGGCGAATAGTTAGTTCTGGGTTATATACCCAGACCCATCCACCGACAGCGTAGAACGGAAGCTTATTCAAATCGCCCGGAAGAGCCGAAACATTTCGACGCCCCCGGCCGGAAATCGAAATAGGGGGGGTGGAATACGATCTACTTTTGGGGGAAACGCCGATTTCACGCCTCCAGCCGGAATAGGTGATGGGGGGGGGTCTTGTAAGGGAGGAAAACTCCGACGATTACGTCATCCCGCTCTACTGGTATGCCCTCACCACAATGCGCACAGTCACCGTACGCTGATTCAACCTCATCCGTGTTTCAACGTGTACAGTAACGTACCAAATGTTTCCAACGTACCCTATCCCTTCAGCAGGCGTTGGCACAATTTTGCCTGTTTCATGTCCTTTTTTGTGTTTTTGGAGGTACCCCCCTTTTCGCACCCTTCATGCCGACTGTAGTACATGCTATTTGCAGGCGGTGGTATCGTACCCACACGACCAATCCGTCGTTACCAGGCCCTCGTCACCAATGGTTGCCGTTTGTGGTTGATCCGCGCTCAGCAGAATACCATAATAGTGCACGGCACAGAGTAGGGCGTGTTCTTTGGTTGGCTACCCGTGAGTGGGTCTTCTAACGCCAGGTATCAGAGGAGGGGGACAAGCAGCCCGTGGCAATGCGGTGTGGTCTAGCTCATACATCGTGGCCTTGAGCCGGAATGAATCTACACGAAGTACATATTAGTTAAATGCATGTGTGTGGCACCTTGTTGTAGCATGTCGTTTCTGCATGCGTCCCATCCCAGGCCGCCTGGCTTTGGTGTGGGAGCGTAGGGTAGGGCGCACGGTGGAGCTGGACTTCGTACAAATATAATGTAAGCACGAACATCTTCTCTTCGCTTTGTTTCAGCAGCCGTGAGTACGGAATGCAGATCTTTCACTACTGCTTGGGTTTGTGGTGATGGGGGTGATGGCGACGAACCATACATATTGCTAGACGCGGCCCTCAAAGGGCTCGCTGTTCGTGTGTAAGGTTCTCTGACTACCTGTCATCGACCCAAGGCAGAGACGCTGTTACTAACCGATAGTACAACGCTTCCGCATCACATCATGGTCCCCGAACATTCCTGCGGATAGAGGTTAGGAAGGCTGAAGAAAAGCGATCGTGCTTTCGCAGAGGAGGAAGCGACAACAAGCCTTAGGATTCGTCGATGTCATTCCAACCAGGAAAACACTCACCAGAAGGCGACCAGCAACGATGATGATGATCTAGACAGACCAAGGAAACCGGCCAGAAAGTTCCTGAAGAACTAACACTTCCCATTCCCAGGAAGTCTGACAATTCCTAGGAACTCTGACGATGGTCAATGATACCTTGTATCCACCATCTGTCTCCTCATGTTTGGCTATCGATTACCCAAAGAAGTGCAACAACGACTGTCGATAACCCTGCACGGTTGACTTGGATGTACATCGCCGGCCGCTCGTAAGAATCTCCTCGTCCAAATTCGAGCCGTAACTACTTATTATTATCCGAACATCATGTTTACCTCCCGGTGTCAGTCTGGGCGGGCGGCGATATTTCCACCAGGTGACCGTCGCGCCTACAGGAGGAGGGCCGATCACCGACGGGCAATCGTTCCTTCCTACCGTTCCAAAGGTGGCTCAAATGATGTTCCCTAGCCTATCTATCGTATCGATCGAATTTCCAGGCTTTTCGGCCCACTTACCTTTCAGCCCACATTAATGGCGGCCTTCTTCTACTGGGAGGGGGGGGTGTACTCATTACGGTGCATGCCGTAGCCGTTACACGATGGACCTAGCATCCCTACAAAGCCGGGACGGGGCAAACCGGTTTCTCACAGAACCAGGCTCGCACACCACCAAGCGCGAAGCGCCGTGAGGTATTCGAAGAGTTGCATGGAGGGTGCGCTGCACCCTGCTGGGTGTTGTGTATCTTGTACTTACTCCTTATATACGGTTGGCAGCTGCGAGTGGTATAGGTGTTTCGTTCTGGTGCTCTCATTTACAGAGACAGTCAAAATAACTACGTAACTGCCTCGAAGGTACTTGGCCAATTTAACACAGCGTGGTGCGATTGGTGCGATCATTCCCATCGCGCGGAGTGAGGGCTCTCGGCCCCGCACAACATGATCAACTCGACAACCATCATGTAACCCCCCCAAAAAAAAGAAGGAAGAAGAAAAAAAAGTAGAGGTACTTCTTCCCTGGTTGTGGAGCTCACAAAGCGATCCACGCGCTTGACAACGCCGTTGCCAAGAGACGAAAATACGTCAGTCGGGTGGCGGGCAATGGTACGGCGAGACTTTGGTGAATCACGTCGCCGAGGATACAACATGCTCGCTCACCTGGAAAAAATCTGCTCGTGCAACGCGTTCGTTGACTCGATCACACAGCTTCAGGCGTTTAGCCTGCAGACACAAGGGGCTAGGCGTGAGAGCCCTAAAACACGGGGATTTCTATGTATCGGCATTGGTACCGCAGAAAGATGTGTGGAATACATGAAACATCTTTAGCCAACTCGTGAGTGTTTCTTTGGGCAAACTAATGTGTACGCTCATGGTCAGAGCGTCATGTGCGCGTGTGTGGCCTCTCCAAACTCCTTTTCAGGACGACATCGGTGGGCATGGCACACCAACGTGGTTGTCGAAATTCAGCCCCCACTCTACTGGTACTACCTCATCGATCGTTGTTTACTGGGGCCTGGGTGTGTGTTATATCTGGTGTCATATTCGACACTGACCACCATGTTGGTACCGTTCGACTTTTCTGCTGAGGAATAAATCGAGCTGTGAAAATTGGGGTGTGTGACATCTTCTGTCGCGTACGCTATTCAAACATGCTGTACACCAGTCTCCATACGGATTTTTCGGAGTTGTTGCATCAATAACCCATCTCGCCCGTGGACGTGTCCGTGAACCACCGTCCATGGACGTCCATGGACTTGTCCACGGACACGGACATGTCCGTGGACGTTCACTGGACGTGTCCATGGACATTCACGGACAACGTCCACGGGCGTCTTTGCGGTGTCCATGGACGTCGATAATTGCCTCCTTTCCGAGCGACGTTCACCGAACATGAACGAGCTGTCGTGCTTAAGACCAGGTTAGATATCCTTCATACTTGGCCAACGGTCAGCCAACGTACTCGTCGAACCGGCACCGCCATGCGGTAATTGCGGGGCTGCTTTGTTCAAAGGTTAGAGTTCCATTCCATATAGACTAATCTTTGTGCTTTTCTGTATACATACATGTTTTTATTTACCGTGTCCAATATAAAGCATGCAAAAACATGACGTTACTGTTTCGTACCGCCACAGTATACGCCTGTGCTATACCCTATATATTCAAACTGCAACAACGGACAACTTTTTCTTCCTTTCTCCCTTGACCTCCCAACCAATTCCCCCTTTTTGCTCCTCGTCCTTCACCTCTCAACCTACGTCTGTGCTAGAAGATTGTCGTATATTTCTCCCCTTCCTTGACCTCTCTACCAATTTCTACTTCTGTATGATACCCTACATTCATTCTGCAACAATGGACAGCTCTTCTTCGTTCCCCACCCGACCAATTTTTACCGCTGCACTTCTGTGTTTCTCTTCCTTCATGTCCCAAAGCGTTCATACCACTGCACAATTGTGCTACCCACCGTGTCCAATACATACACTACATCATGACAACAGTTACCCAAAGTTACACAACTAACGTACATCCGCCGGCTCCGGCCTTCTCTTCCCGACGACGACGTAAATCCAGCCTAACGGGCGGGCTGCCGCCATGCCCTAGTGCTTAGCTACTGTCGAATGCATTCAGACGCAATGGACATCACCGCATGTTTGCCGCGCCAGGGCACGCCTACTCCGAGCAGTGGGTCTATCGCGAACTAAAACACGTCCAAAAACGGCCCGCACAACAAAAAAGGAATCGTCACGCCAGCTGACAATCACAGTCCTCTGCGAAACGTTACACCCGTCTCATCTTTCGCAAACCGTGAAGTAAACCCGATCTAATCGATGTCGAATGGAAGCGAAAAAAAAGTACACCCGAAACGAATCTCCAAATATGTTTGGCGCCATCACAATAGGGTGCGTGTCGGTCTCAACCACCACCTCATCACTGCTTGTCCATATTCTTGTACAGGTTGAAAGCGTCGTTTCCGCCTGGGAAAAAATAATGCAAGTAACAGCGGGCGCGGGATTCAGGTTTCGCGCCATAAGGAATTGAACCGAGCATTGCAGTCTCTCGTTCTGTCGCTCAGAGAACGACCAAAATACCAGGTACCCACATCCGACCTGGGTTAAGATTGCCTGAAGCGCTACAACCTCAACGTGTGCAGCTCCAACATGAGCCTGCCTGTTGTGTTATGGTCTACCTACCCCTAACCCGAACCCTGCCTGCTATTTCTCTCACCGCAGACGGTCCCCGGGTCACCGGAGCACTCCATGAGACATGATCCCGACCCGTGTCTCTTGTAGTCCTCCTCGTCGTTAGACATTCCGCACCAGCACTCGTCGCCGTACTGTTGAGCCAAGAGACAAACAAGCGCCGGGGGCGAGGAGAGAGAGGAAATAAACAGAAAATAAAAGACGGCGACCAGAGACATCACTTTCGTACGTGTTTTAAGAGCTGGGCTCTTTCGTATGTGTTTTAAGAGCCGAGCCCAGATCGGCTGACCGTCCTTGTGATACATCGTCCACGACAGCCGCTGCTCGGATTCAGCACATTGAACTTTGCCTCCACAAGCAAGTCAGGAAGCTAGATCTAAGCGCACGCACAATGGGCACGATGCAGAGCAGAGGGAGAGAAGCAATCGATCCCCGGATACAACAAGAGAGGAAACTATGTAATGGCCCCCGCTTAACGCCGCCGGGGGAAAGTGAAGTGACGAGGAACAAAGAGTCCTCTCGAATCTTCCAACAGCTCGTGGCCAAAATTCAAATAGCCACCTTAGGAGAGCACGGCTTACGATCACACTACTTTCGTCTGCCTGCCACTGTTGTTTACGTCTTCCAATAACAACACGATACCTAGAGCATCCACGGGTGGACCCTACCACAGGGCAACCTGTTTCTGTGCCCGTGCCGCCGACCATGTACGAACCACGGCCATTTACCTGGGTCGCGTAGAAGTGCGCATCATAGCCTTCGCAATACGTGCGGCAGACGGCCTGGGTCATGTCGGGCTGGTACTTGATTTCGTTACCCAATAGGCGATCTTCCGGGTCGTCGGCGAAGCACCCCACGTACTCGTCGACCTCGTCGCCCTCTTCGACCTCGACTTCCATCGGTTCCGCGATCTTGTACAGATCTGGTTACAACAGCGCAAGTTCGAGGCAAACGTTACGTCCGCTTGTCCGCCCAGCGAAGACGGTGGCTACCGCACCCAACAATGATTTTCAGAAAAGAAAGTCGTATCGAGTGCCACCAAACACCAAACCGCCGTTTTTCAACAACTAACTGTGCGGACGTGTTGGTGAAACTCGACTAGATGCACCTACATGGCAGAGTTCAAGTCCACCGGATCACACGAAAGAACAAGCCGTGTTTCTCCCAACGGGGGAAACGAAACCGTCGAATACGAAAATACACACAACGTTAGAAGTTTTCCACTCCACAACATACACACAGGAAAAAAAAAACCCTCACCGAAAGCGTCGAAGCCACCGCAATTCTCAGACTGCGCAAGCACGTGGAATGGGCAAGTGGGTAACGAGGGGGGCGGTTTATCTCCAGGCGCGTGTGTCAACACAACAGTAGGGCCACAAGTTTTTCATAGTTGTGAGTGGGCGCAACAAGGAGTAGAGAGGATGATAACATGTCGAGAAACTACTGCTGTGCACTACATGCAGGCCTTACCCTTATGTCGAACACCGTCCAAGGAATGATGGAAACAAACAAGAAACTGGTTGCGGATCGAGGCCTGAGCAGTCACACTGTAGAAGCGTTGAACACTTTGAGCGTTGTGCCCGATGGTCAACGCAGATATCACCCCCTCAAAACTTTCGGAGCTTCGGAAACTTCGCCAGAAGCGCCCTCCGATCCACAAGCACTGCGCAAGCGTCGAGGGCTCGTTCGCGCCAACACTGAATACGCGATCATGACGCAGCATCGGTAGGGTTTCGCCCGTGGCGTCTTTTCCCAGCAACTCCCGGTTTGGGGTGTGTTTTTCACTGACCGTGTCCCCTTGGCACGCCGTCGTGCACAGGCCGTCGCCGCCGTCGATGTTGTCGGAGTGGCGGGAGTAGTCGAGGTCTGTGTCATCACTGCACCAGCACTCGAAGCCAAACTGAGTAGCCATGTACGCGGCTCCCTCGGAATAGCAGTGCTCGTAGCACATCTGCGTACGGCAAAGGGAAACGCGCATTTGGAGGGGAGGGTAAGACGATCGACGGTGGCATCACCCAATGCGTGGATTGCTGCGCTAAACACAAAATTCCGCAACATTTTTGATTGGTACATGCCGCGACCTTCATCATCGTGTCTTGGAGAGACGCATGTCGGGGTACAGGTCGCCGCTATCAAGCGTCAATGTTGCGAGAACGATAAGTGTAACGGAGCTGCTATTTCCAAGCGACAATGGAAGCAATCCATCAACCACAAAACCAAACGCAGGCTGCAGTGAATGAGAACGGTGCTTAAATATTGTGTCTGAGGGAGACGGGGCAACACTCACAGCGGTGGTCATGTATGGCGACTTCTCCTTGTATTCGAGTACTCGGTCCTCCTTTTTGTCGGAAAAGCACCCGACGTAGGAGTATTCATCCGGGGTTGGCTCAGGCGTCGACTCAGGCTCGGGAGTCGGCTCAGGCGTCGACTCAGGCTCGGGAGTCGGCTCAGGCGTCGACTCAGGCTCGGGAGTCGGCTCAGGCGTCGACTCAGGCTCGGGAGTCGGCTCAGGCGTCGACTCAGGCTCGGGAGTCGGCTCAGGCGTCGACTCAGGCTCGGGAGTCGGCTCAGGCGTCGACTCAGGCTCGGGAGTCGGCTCAGGCGTCGACTCAGGCTCGGGAGTCGGCTCAGGCGTCGACTCAGGCTCGGGAGTCGGCTCAGGCGTCGACTCAGGCTCGGGAGTCGGCTCAGGCGTCGACTCAGGCTCGGGAGTCGGCTCAGGCGTCGGTTCAGGGGTCGGCTCAAGCGTCGGCTCAGGATAGGGAGTCGGAGATGTTCCGCCTGTGGGGAAAACCAAGCAAACAAGTTTTTAAACGACTTCTTTGGACTCGCCAAACCTCTCCGAATGTAAGCATTTACTGACTTCCGTGTAGGCCCTTCGCGCAAAGACGATAGTAGTTTTGTGGAATGTTCATAGAAAGTCCAAGTCGGGGTGGCTTCCTTTTGGCCCCTGTCGTGCTTACTTCTTAGTACCACCAGAGGGGACATTCTGACCGGACAGAGGCGCTGGGCCCACTCTAGACACAATGGCGAACCAGGAGAATTAGTGTTGACATGTTCCAATACAAACCTCGAGTTAGTAATATGGACTTTTGGGACTGACGCGCTCGCTCTTTGCTTACGTGTACAAGACTGAAAGTAAGGGCAAACGATACAACAGGTTTACAAAAAGTACAGACGAGCGAACTGACGTTTGAGAACCACAACAAGAAGAATAGAGCATAATCGCGGTCACTACTGAGAATGAACAGACAGGCAGGCACACAAGGACCACACATCAAGGCCCTCACTATGCTATGCGTGGTGATAGCGACGAGGACGTCCATCTGCAACGCATTTCTGTGTGTGAGGCACCAGGCCGAAATACCCGACGTCTCTTGTGTCCTCCATCAGGTTACACGGCACCAGCAAAGACAAAACACATTTCGCGCTCGATGGCACTCGGGTGCATTGGGTTGTACGTGACATCAGCATCCTCCATTTTTTACCGTACTGGAGGCTCGTGGGGCCTGCCCTCGTCGGCGAAACCCTAGGGGCGATGTAAGAGAGAGAGACCAACCTTTTCCTGGCAGAAAGTCTGACAATTGGGTAGGGCACTCTGAAAAACGTGCAAAACAAAGAAACTCTCCTAACGCCTCCGGGGAGAAAAACTCGACGAGTGCTTTGAAAATCCCTACGCCTCCTAACCCTAACCTTGACCCTTACGATATCGTCCTCGGATCAATGGGAACAGTAACAACGTTGAAGATCCCCCGTAAATTTTCAGTCTCAGGGAGGGGGCCCGGGTGGCAACTATACATGGGCATTTTTTGTAATAGAGCAAGGTACAGTATTTCGTAACTTATTTCGGGTCACCTCGGGGGAACACTACCAGTCAAATATCGAGTCTTGTCCTGCTTGTCTGGCAAGGCGTGACGTGATTGTGTTCATCAACAGGGATCACGCACACAAGGGTACCTGCTCCGGAATCGGCGGGGTAGGGATTTGGACGAGGAATTGTGTGTTTATATTATTCCTTAAGTCCCTATGATAAGTGCGTCTACATGTGCAACTTGGGTTGCCCTGGAGGTCGATCTCACCGTTGGCCACCAGAGTGATGTCGGAGCAGCCGAAGAACACGTTGCCCCACTTCTGGCCTTCGTCGCTGCAACCGGGGTTCTTGTGCGGCAGCCAATCCTCCTTGTCCGGCGCGCAATCTCCCGGCCACTCGGGCTCGAATTCGTGGTAGCCGGGGTGGTGGCACCCGACGTACGCGTCTGACGAAAGTAGAAGGATGGAATTGGGTCTGCTGGTCAGGGTAAGTGCTGAGGTACATGGCTACAGAAAACCTTCCGGCAGAGCAGAGGAGAGCTCTGCGTTCTCGCAAATTCGTCCCCCCAACTATCTGCAGTGTTTCTTGTCAACATGGATAGTGTAGAACGCTAAAATTGACGAGGAGAAACACGTTACACCACAGGCCCACGCCAGGAGGACGCGCGCGTTGAATGCATTCGTCCAAATATTATTGCTCTCGGAGTGTTGCGGTAAAAACCACGTCTTGCACCTATCACCGATGATAGCAACACTTTTTCTTGGACAACATTGACAACGCAAGAACAACTAGAGAGGGGCATGGGTTACGAGTTGTTTGCCTCACACGTGTTGACCAAGCATCGAGCAAGAACAGAAGGCAAACAGCAGCAGATGCACGACAGAGAATAGGTTTCGGGTACACGTACAAATATTTACTGTCAAAATCAAGATATTTCATTTGTTGTTGAGTGCCTTCATACTCACAGTACTTCATCTGGAGGACGCAGTGCTCGCACTGGATGTTGGGCAGATGGTAACGTCCGTTGTTGATGTAGCCCTGCAATATTCGGTAAGATTTGGAAAGTTCGGGGGGAGCGTGAAACACGTTTTCCGGCTTGCTGCAGTTGATTTGATCTACTGGAGAAAAGGACCACGGCGAAGTGCACACCACTACTGCATGCTTCCCACAATCCAATGACGCTGTTGAGTCAGCGAGAAGACTATGCCGCTGACAAATACCACAACACGCCGTTAAACATTGCGTGGTTTCACCCGTCAGCACCTCTTTCCCTCCCCACTCCCCTCTCGCTCTCTGGGTCTCTCTCGAAAAACCGCTCGAGCTGCCCACGCTTTTACTCGCGACGATACTCTGGCACGGTCTATGTCACGTATTTCTTCGCAGACTCAAAGAGCTACCATTGGGACAGATTGCTCACTTTGTCCAGGCCGAGGCCGCCACCAGTGAGCTCGGGCCTTCCTGATTGGTCGGTCTCTTCATTTTCACCGCGGCACTCGGGGTTCACGAAGAAACGCCCGGGGTAGTTCGGGTCGATGGGGCTGTTCCACCAATCGGTCTCGTCGCGGTCGAGCGGGTACTTGTTCAAGCAGTCTTGGGTCACCACGCCGTCAGCGTCGTCTGATTTCGAATGGAAATTAAGGTTGGGGGGAGAGGGGACAACGGGATTGCCATCAGACTCTCAAGGGGCACAGCCTCGGCGTGTTCGAGACAACCAGGACATGAGGCGCGCGGTCCCCAAAAGTTTCGCGTGCTGCACTCTTTGAGCTATGAACCGTGCCGAAACTGGTTGGTCCACGGCGGGCTCCACATTTGCTACCCGTTGACAAGCTACACTCCAGCCGATACCTAAAATATGTGGTACGTATCTCGGTCTCCTTCCCGAGAACCCCGAGAGTGGAGCCCAAAACAAAAATGGGGAGTTCACTGTAGAGATCGGGGCGACAAGTCGTCGAAATGCTGGCACGCCATGGGGTTCGAAGAGAATCGGGAGAGCAATTTACTCGCGGGAAATCGTGGCAGTTTTGCCGAACGGTCCATAAATGGCTGCCTTCCGTCGACGTGGTTGTTGGTTGTTGTTTTTGTCTTCACGATAAAATAGCCGTTCTGGTCTCCGCTCAGAACCTCTAATCTTCCGTGGTCAACAACACAATCATGTTGAGACTAAATGCAAACCTGGCATCCCGGTGCAGCTTCAATATTTTGTGACTCACCCATGTCAGCGGTGTCGCACAGGAAGTACTCGATGTGCCCCTGTTGGTTTCGATGGCGGGTCGGCGAGGTGACGCAGGCGTGGAGCGCGGAAGATTATGTTCTGAAGCAGCCAAACACAGCCAGGTGGCACAGCTGCTGCGCCTCTGGAAGGAGGCATAAAAAGGACATGCTCCAACTACTGCACGCCAAGTGTCGGATATATTGTTGGATTGTGGTCAACCAGCCAATATTTCACGGCACGAGTGTGACCCTTGTAAGCTGGGAACACTTTCAGAAGTACCGATGAAAATTTTGTGTTTGTGGATGCCACAGGGAACTTTCGCCACAACCTTGCTCTCTAGGCTCGAAGGTAGCGACCTTGTTTCCTTGACGGGAGCGAGGCACGCCTCCCGTACGTGCAAGACGTGGTCGAAGGACTCACCCAGTGGTTGTTGTTGATGACCGCCCTGATCTCGATGATGGATCCCGACTCATACGTCGAGATCGGAGGCCAGAGGGTGTTCGGGGTGCTGTACGTGTTCGGGTTGTCCAAGCCGCCCTGTTTATTGTCCCGCAGGCAATGGGTTTCGGTGGGGGTTATTTCGGGTAATGGTGAAAACGGGCATGCTACATCGAGTGTTGCCCGGTGCAGTGGCCGGTTTGAAAACTGAGGATGAAGATGTTTCTTGCCCTTCGACGAAATGTCATGAGTGAGCGACAACCGAAGGGAATTCCTGCTGTAAGGTAGGCGGCAATCCTATCTTTGCATGACACTCGACGAACCGCACGCTCAGCCGTTTCATTCGGCTTGCCGTCGGGGTATCGGTGCAGTTCAATCACATGTGGGAGGAACAGCCAACGTTAGTGCCCACGACGTGGAGCAAGTCGAGAAATCGTCGGCAAAAAAGTTAAGTTGCGCGAAGGCCATCCGCGAAACTGTCGTAAACAGTGCCACAAATCTACACCCCTCACTACAAACCGATCACATCACCGACCTGAGGAGGGTCTCCGCACACGCCGTGTCCGACGGCAATCTTGTCGCTCTCGAGGTAGTTGTTGTTCGGGCACCTCTCCCCCATGTCCCACGCCGCCCCCACGATCCAGTAGTCGCCGTCGCCGTAGTCGGCAAGGATGTCAGGAGCGATGTTGTCGATGGTTCGGGCCTGGACCTCGTCCGCACCTACGGAACAGCGGAAACAATCCGGCAACGACACCGCAAAGCCCGAGTATGAACCAAGCTGTCATCGGCGTGGGGGGAGACACCAGAAAGAACCGTACTCTTGCCAGTACCGGTTGGCACGAACGTATGCACATGCAGGCAACGACCAACAACGGTAGGTACGCGTCGTCTATCGACTTTGTACTTTATTGTGTCGGACGGATTTATCGTGGAAGGTATCAATATTTGTCCCAAGCATCTCCGCAGTCTCAGACGGCGACAAACTATTGGGGCTTGTTTTATCCTTGCCATGCGTCTTATTTTTTTGTTTCGCCGTTGCTCTCAGTACCCTGCAACGCTCCCTCTCAAACTGAAGATCTCCGGCTTGTGGTTACACAACTTAGAAGCATGTTTCCAGATATTTTCGATTCTGGACACGAAAAATATTCAACCTTCCTTTGGTCAAGTTGACTCACGAACAATGTTCAAGCGTTCACTGAAGTGGTAATGTCATCCTTGGCACGGAAATGAAATTACGACTCCTCGGCTCGGATGTTCCAACTTCCATAGCCAGCCGCTGATTACCGTCATTTAGTTGGACGTTGCGACCTAAACAACCGAGGCGACGGGATATTATTTGGCGCCAGCATTTCACAAGAGAAAACAGGTACTCCGTATATGGTAGCACTGCGTTTGTTTGACTCGGACGCACATGGCTGCACTTTTGTAGTATGGGAGTTGAAGTTGAAGCATGCAGCACATGGTTGTGAAAATAACATGCCCCAGTCTCAGTCCCTCGTGAACCGCAGACAGAAAAAACGGAGTCAAGATGAGGCCAATATAATAGGAAGGTTTGTTCGTCGAAGCAGATAGAATAAACTGGTGTTTATTTTGTAACAGTCGAATTAGAATTTGGCTTCATTTTCTACCGGAAACCCAGGGTCACGGTGTTTGGAATTATTAGTCTATAGTTGGGGGTGTCATTCCGTGATCGAGTCCACGCAGGGGCTGTAGCAAAGTCGGGTAACGTGTGACAGCTACAGAGCGCGTGAAGCAACGGAAGGACAGCAGCAGCCGCCTAACGCAGTAGCGGCGGCAGTTTAGAAAAGGGCGGGACGGGACACGGCGCAAGCATTGGGGAAGTGACCAGCACGCGACTCTCCATATAAAGGTGTGTACTCGTGTCCAACATCCATCGTGTCGGCCGTGTTCCTATTCGCGTCCCGCTACTCTTGTGACCTCACCGCTGCGTGCATTTAGCACGAGGGGGGAGGGTGCAGTAAGATAAGCGGCGGCAAGCCAACGCAGTCTCGCTCGCCGCGCCGCTCAGATAGGTCCCTTCCCAAACATGGGATGCGGTTCATCCCAACCGAGACGTACTCTCGCTGAAGAAAAAAAATGCGGTTCGTCCCAACCAGACGTACTCTCTCTGAAGAAAAAATTCAACGGCAAAAAGAAAGAGCGGGGCCTGTTGTATGGTCGCACGCTGACTTGTCGCGGTTGATAGCAGCCATTGTACTGCACGGGGTGGAGGAACCCTGCGGCATCGGACATAACCAATCGACCCGCGGCAGTAGGGCATGATGCTGTCACGATTATGCACATGAGGCAGGTGCCTTGTTTTCTGTTTCCCCCGGCTTACTAGGGACTACTTGCCGGTACAATCTTGTCTGTGCCGCGCACAGAGGGGCATATAGCTGAAGGAATCGACGATAATATGCCCACTCACGTAAGCAATCGTCTCCACGGATGGTATTGACAAGTCCCCACTGATGGTATCGACAAGTCCCATGGCATACAAAGCGGCCGCATACGTAATCGGAAAGTGCATTCAACAGCATTCACGGGAACGGATAAAAGCAAAAACACATGCATGCGAGAGAAAGACTCAAAGAAAAAGACTGAAAAACAATGAAGACGAGAAAAAAAAAACGAGACAGCGAACTACGTGCTGTATGCATAAGGAAAAAGAAGATGAGAAAAAAATAGGGGGGGGAGGTGGATGTGACACGCGAGGTTCGAACTCGCGAGGAACGTCAGGTAGCGGTCCATGTGAGTGCATCACGGTCTCGAGGGGCATCACGTCAAATTTATTGCCGCCGTGACACAAACCTTCTATAAGAATACGTCACGTCCATCGACGATTAAGCGACCAAAAACGCCCGGACAGCAATTGATGCATGCCAAAAACTCGTCAACCTGCCGTAGGATTGTCTATGCGGAAGTGATCTCAATGAAAATAAAAAAAAACAAGGACACGCACCAGCACGGGACGCGCCAATAGTGGAAGCACTCGTCCGTGCTGTTGGCGAGTGGAAGTTAACCGATCTCAACGCAACGAAACACGAAGTCATACATGTATCAGCACGGGATGCGCCAATGAGTGGAAGCACCCGCGCTGTTGGCGAGTAGAGTTAACCGAATTCAACGCAGCGGTAGAAAAATACCACAAATCATGCATCAGTACGGGACGCGCCAATGAGTGGAAGCACCCGTGCTGCATATGTGATGTCAGCCTCAGCACGGGACGCGCCAATGAGTGGAAGCACTCGTGCGGTTGGTGAGTAGAGTTAACCGATCTCAAAAAGAAAGAACAAAACGCCGTACATGTATCAGCACGGGACGCGCCAATGAGTGGAAGCACCCGCGCTGTTGGCGAGTAGAGTTAACCGAATTCAACGCAGCGGTAGAAAAATACCACAAATCATGCATCAGTACGGGACGCGCCAATGAGTGGAAGCACCCGTGCTGCATATGTGATGTCAGCCTCAGCACGGGACGCGCCAATGAGTGGAAGCACTCGTGCTGTTGGCGAGTAGAGTTAACCGATCTCAAAAAGAAAGAACAAAACGCCGTACATGTATCAGCACGGGACGCGCCAATGAGTGGAAGCACCCGCGCTGTTGGCGAGTAGAGTTAACCGAATTCAACGCAGCGGTAGGAAATACCACAAATCATGCATCAGTACGGGACGCGCCAATGAGTGGAAGCACCCGTGCTGCATATGTGTTGTCAGCCTCAGCACGGGACGCGCCAACGAGTGGAAGCACTCGTGCTGTTGGCGAGTAGAGTTAACCGATCTCAAAAAGAAAGAACAAAACGCCGTACACGTATCAGCACGGGACGCACCAATGAGTGGAAGCACCCGCGCTGTTGGCGAGTAGAGTTAACCGAATTCAACGCAGCGGTAGGAAATACCACAAATCATGCATCAGTACGGGACGCGCCAATGAGTGGAAGCACCCGTGCTGTATATGTGTTGTCAGCCTCAGCACGGGACGCGCCAACGAGTGGAAGCACTCGTGCTGTTGGCGAGTAGAGTTAACCGATCTCAAAAAGAAAGAACAAAACGCCGTACACGTATTAGCACGGGACGCGCCAATGAGTGGACGCACCCGTGCTGTTGGCGAGTAGAGTTAACCGAATTCAACGCATCGAAAACGAAGTCGTACACGTATCAGTACGGGACGCGCCAATGAGTGGAAGCACCCGTGCTGCATATGTGTTGTCAGTTTCAGCAAGGGACGCGCCAATGAGTGCTGTTGGCGAGTAGAGTTAACCGATCTCAAAAAGAAAGAACAAAAACGCCGTACACGTATCAGTACGGGACGCGCCAATGAGTGGGCGCACCCGTGCTGTTGGGCGAGTAGAATTAACCGATCTCCACGCATCGAAAACGAAGTCATACACGTATCAGTACGGGACGCGCCAATGAGTGGAAGCACCCGTGCTCATATGTGTTGTCAGTTTCAGCAAGGGACGCGCCAATGAGTGGAAGCACCCGCGCTGCGTACAAGTATCATCAGTGCGGGTCGCGCCAATGAGTGGAAGCACCCGTGCTGCATATGTGTTGTCAGTTTCAGCGAGGGACGCGCCAATGAGTGGAAGCACCCGCGCTGTTGGCAAGTGGAGTTCACCGTATCCAACGCATCGAAAAAAAAAAAAAAAAACACGTATCAGCACGGGACGCGCCAATGAGTGGAAGCACCCGTGCCGATGGCGAACCGGGGTTCACCGAATCCAAGAAAATATATATATAAAAAAAAAAAAAGAGAAACCATCGCTAGTGTTCCAAAGAGAGAAATATTCGGGATTGGTCGACGTCCGGTGACCGTAGCGTCAGCAGCAATAATCACTCCATTCAATCCACAGGCGTCGAGAATGAACTAACGCGAGCTCGCGATATAACAACGCGTCGTTCTGGGCCCGACGAAAACCCACGTCAGATAGTTTCGCCCGAAGATAGGATTTGTAGACCATTCTAACTGCAGATCCAGGCGCGCGATCGACTACGCCCACGATGAAGAGGAAAAGAAGTGTTCCCGCAACGCCGCCCTGACGCTCGCCCGCCGCCTGCCGCCGGTCCGCTGCTTATACGACTCCAACCGCGACCAGATGCCGACACGGGCCTCCACGCGGAGCGGCAGGGCAGCGGCTGGGCAAGCAGGGCGAGGTCGGGCGGCGACACCTTCGACACCACGCACGAGAGGTCTACCGCGCGATCGGTGGCGAGCTCGACGGCTCGCCCCTCGACGCGCAGCGGATCACGTACTCCCGCGAGGCGTCGAGCGGTATCCTCCTCGCGAGCGCCAGGGACAGGCACCCGCGGCGACCCCCCCGCTGATGAGACTGAGCTCGCTTCTCTCCGCGGGCTGGTGGACGGCCTGAGGGAGGAGCTGCAGCGGAAGCGCGATGAGGCTGCCGGTGATCGCCAGCAGCTTCAAGCAACGATCGACGACCTGATCGCCACCCAAGCAGCAGGACCTGGCCTTCCGGGGGGGGGTGCAACTTGTGGGCACAACCGCCCCACCATCGGCCTCTCGGGCCCCCGCTACACCCAGCGCCGAGGCGGCTAAGGCTACGGCAAAGGATAGAGCGCGGATGTGGGGGGACCTCCGCCGGGTAAAAGCGTGGCTCATC